TTACTTGGAGCTGTTATTCAATATCACTTAAATTCAATTTTAGAGAAAAATGATGCAGATGTAAAATATCCCTTCCATTATTGTTAAATTAATGAATAGTTTCTATGTTGATAACTGTGTGTAACAAGTGTCGGAAGTGAAGATGAATTACAGCGCTTCATGAAAGTATCTTCAGATGTTATGGCAGAACGAAAATTTGAATTACGGGGTTGGGAAGAATATACCGACTGTAGTTTAGAAACAGAAACTATTGCGAATGTATTAGGTTTGTTATGGGAAAGATAAGGCGATAGTCTCCAAATAAGTGTTGCTAATTTGCAAAATCTTTGTTTCGAGAAAGTCACGAAAGGAAGTATTTTGGCAATAGCCCATAAAGAATTTGATCCCATCGGTATAACATGTCCAGTCTCTATATTACCTAAGATGTTATTACAGTGTACATGGGAAACAAAAGTAAAATGAGATGAAGAAGTTAACACTGAAATTAAAAGTAAATTTTTGAAATGGGTAAAAGACATTTTTCTTTTGAAAAACATTAAAATTCCAAGGTGGATACGATATCAGCCAAAACAGTGTTCAATACATGTTTTCTGTGATGCCAGTCAAGCAGCGTATGCGGCAGTAGTTTTCATTCGTGTAGAAGAAACTGAATCGGTTAAAGTCCAGTTGCTTCAGGCTAAGTCTAGAGTTTCCTCTTGTGGTAAAAAGGAAATGACCATTGTAAGATTATAATTGTTAGTAGCAACTATTGCATCTCGTCTTGCTGCAGACGTTCTAAAAGACTTTGAGGCCAGAAGTACATTTTTCTGGACAGATTCAACTACTGTCCTTGCATGGATAAAAAGGGAAGAACCATGGGGGACATTTGTACAAAATAGAGTACAGGAAATAAGGCTTTTGACATGTGTAAAGAATTGGAGGCATATACCTGGTCACCTTAACCCTGCAGATCTTCCAAGTAAGGGGTGTTCAGTTCGCCAACTCTCCTGGTCAAAATGGTGGGAGGGTCCGAGCTGGCTTTTAAAATCTCAAGAAAATTGGCTGAGTGCCGAATTTATAACTGATGAAGCGGAAATAGCCAGGGAGAAAAAAAGGCAGTGGTTTCATCTCTCTAGTGTCTACTGAAAGGTTTAGTTTAAGTGAGCGATTTTCTAGCTATCGAAAAACAGAGTTGTTGGTTGGATTCAAAGATTTTTCTTTAATTGCAGAAATAAGAAAAAAAGGAAAGGTGAACTCACTGTTAATGAAATTGATTTTGCAGAAAAGTTTGTTATTCGCTTGATTCAATTGGAATTGTTTCAGGATATAGAAGACGCACGCTTACGAAACTTAGTCCATTTTATGATGCGGGAATTCTAAGAATTAAAACTGGTGCGTTTCGAAGAGATGACACGTTAGAGTTTAGAACATCTATAATATTACCAAGAGAACATTCGTTAGTTAGAAATTTTATTATGGAAGAACATAAAAAGAAAGGACATGCAGGTGTACAATACATACTGAATACCTTAAGGGAAAGGTTTTGATTGTTATCTGGCAGAAGAACTGTGCATTCTGTTTTGAGTAAATGCATTACTTGCAAGAGATATTCTGCTGTACCTGTTGACCACATATCAGCCTCACCGCCAATAGAGTGAGTAAATGATTCAGCAGTATTTCAAGTAACAGGTATAGACCTTTGTGGTCCTTTATTGCTGAGAAACAACGAAAAGGCATGGATTTGTGTTTTTACATGCGCCGTTTATAGAGCGGTCCATTTGGAGTTGTTGACTTCTCTATCTACAGAAATGTTTCTTCAGGCTTTTCATCGGTTCGTGTCGCGAAGAGGTAAACCCAGAAATGTGTACAGTGATAATGGAACTAATTTTGTAGGAGCTTCAAATGCATTCAAATTAATAGATTTTGAACAAATTAATTGGCAGGCAGCCAATGAGCGAATAACATGGAAGTTTATTCCCCTGGTGCACCATGGTGGGGTGGTTGGTGGGAACGTCTGATCGGAATGATGAAGCAAGTCCTTAAAAAGTTCTTAAACATGCTTGTTTAAATTATGAAGAAATGTACACGATACTGTGTGACTGTGAAGAGATTCTTAATGACCGACCGTTGACAGTAATTCCTTACGATCCTGAATTTAAAGCTTTAACTCCTGCCGACTTTTTAAAAGAAATTAGAACTAGTAGTTTGTGGGATATAAAATACGGTATTAAATCAAGTAATTTACAAAAAAGATTTCAGTATATTCAAACTGTACGAGAAGCATTTAAAAATAGGTTTCGTAAAGAATATTTGGGAATTCTCAAGGTTTCGCATAAAAGAGCTGAAAGGAGAGTTACTATTAAATTGGATGATATTGGTTTGATCAGTAGTAGTGACAAAAGACTTTTTTGGCAACTTGGTCATGTCATAGAACTAGTTCCAGGACCTGATGGAATAAATCAGCTTGCAAGAGTAAAGACTCGAAATGGAATTTTGCTTAGAGCAGTTTGAACTCTGTATCCTTTAGAGGTAACGCAAAGTGATGTACCCACGAAGCTGCAGAATGAAAAACAAGATTTTAACTTGTTGTTTCTTCTGAGCAAGTCTGAACTTAAACTCAGCGTAGATGATAAATCTGTGACACCTGTAACACGATCTGGTAGAACTATAACTCCGCCAGACAGACTGGCATATTAAGGCTCTTTACACTTGTTTTACTTTGTTGTGAAAGTTAAATTCCCCCCCCTTAGGTGGAAGGATGTTAAATATTTGCATAATCGCCTGTAGTAACGGCAACCGCAGTCAATAAAAGGAGGTGCTTTCCTTGGTGGCACCGCAGTTCATTTTCAGTTCGAGCCAGAGTAGATCTGCTCGGGGGAGAAGCCAGGGGATGATAGATTCCGGTTCCCGTCTTGTTCCGGTTCCAGTCCGGCTGTTTAAGTCCAAAACACATAGGAGCTGAAGTGTGAATCCAGCGAATGGAGATGTACGCCGAAAGGGCTAGATGGATTTTGTCCTTTTAAAGAAAGTGTTCACCGTGCCGGAATAGCTGTTACTTTAAAGCATTTTGAATGTTTCCACCTAAGATGTTAAATTTTCGTTTATGATGTTAAGTTTTCATCATTTTTGAAGTTGCATTGAATAAACCTTTAAGTTTTAGACAAGGTTTTTGTGTTCCTCAGAAATTTTAGATTCGAAGTCAGATATATCACATAGGATTTAACAGAAAAATCAACAACTTCTGACACCAAAATATAGGGAATTAATTGACAATAAACATCACTACAGCTCATGAAGCTAAAGTAGGATTTATTTATTTACATTAGAATGAAAAGAAAAGTAAAAAGAATAGTTATCAAAACATTTAGGACATATCTGCCCTTATCGTCGTTCAGCTTTCGTCTCACTGCACAAGCATCTAGATGGTGCTTTTACATAATCTTATTCAGTTACAGTTCCTACAATATTGACAGGAGAGATTCCATTTCTTTATCCCAGTAATTTTCAAAGTGTAAAACGTTACCAAGCCAAAGCAATAAGTCATATTTTGAAAAGTACCACAGCATTCCTGGAAAAAAAAATGAAGACTGACAGAGGTACAGCACATAAGCCTTTTCAAAATGTTCCTGTGAAATCCACTGACATTTCACTTATGGACTATGGTCTCTTTCCCTAACCCATGACTGATGGACTCCAGAAAGTAGTGGAAGAGGAATGGAAGTCAATACCCCTGGAAATTTTAGGAAAAGTCCTTCAATCATGGAAATCATGATTCAAACTTATAGTCCAGAAAAAAGACTATCAAATCAAACATTTAAACAATGCTCTTACATTCTGAACATCAATTAAATGGCTCCAAAATCGTTCTAAAAATGTGTAAACACCCTCCATATCTACTAAGAGTATGAATTCAAATACAATCTGGTGACAAGTCACTAAAACAGAATAACATTTGGACCATTCATAAAAAATCCCGCAATTTAAAAAAAAAAAAAAAAAAAAAGGTTTTCACAAAATTGTAAAACTAGAGCAGTTTTGTAAAAATGTGAAAAGTTTGTAAAAGTTGGCAGATGTAAAGCAGTAACAAAATTTTTAATATTTCAATTTATTTATAGAATTCAATTACATTTTATAGTATTTTTCAGGGGAAAAATCAGCAGCAAATGCTAATGTTTTCAAAACAAATTCTTTATGAATTAAATTTTAATTTGTTTGACAGTAAAGATATAGTTTGATCAGTTGACAATAGGAGGCATTATTTTTTTAAGAAGACAAATTATTTCTGATTTTTTTTTATTCTATTAATATTTTAACACTTTTTTATGGCAGAATCCCTTCTAAGTTGTTAGACTGTAATCTGAAGTTTTAGACTGCTACATAATTTTTCATTGATTTCTGAATTAAATTATTTATATTATCGGTATTAATTTTTTTACAGATACTGAAGTTCAGAATCATCAAAAATTTTACTTTATAAGCTGTTAACATATAACAAAAATATTCATATTTAAAGGAAATTAAAAAATACTCATTTTTAAAACATAAATTTAAAATAAGGGGCTAAGCATGTGCTTAGCGTAAAAAGCTAATATAATGTATTAATTTAAAAATATATCAAACTTCAATTTTTTTATTACTTTAAAAATAAAAATGAAAACTTTTGTTTTTAACTGCTAAAAAGATACAAATAAATAATTTTGCAGAACTTTTAAGTTCTGAAAAAGTTAAAAACAATATTTTTCATATAATTTTTTGCTTCATTTAAGTTAAAAAAACTTGCATTAAAATGAAAATTTAAAAAGAAAGAAAGAAACAAAGAAAAGAAAAATTAACATGGTCTTCCCCTTTACACATAACAGTTATTTCAAAATAGGTACTAAATAAAACACTACTTACCATGCACGAAAAAAAGAAAAAAAAAAAAAAAAAAAAAAAAAAAAAAAAAAAACCATGAAGTTTAAATTCAACAGTTAAAATAAGTTTATTATACTAGAAGTTTTCAAACAGCTTAATAAAATTACTTTTTAGTTTCTTCTGTTCTCTTTCCAAGCGAATCAAAATAATCTGCTCCATAATTGCTTTTTTCCATAACGCTTTTAAATGAGAAGATGAATGTTTTGGAGGTTCCATTTTTTTCTCTTCTACAACTTCTCCTATACAGAAGAAAAAAAAAAAAAAAAAAAAGTAACATGTAAATAAATATTTCTGCTCACACTAAATTTTACTGAAATATGAATGCAAAGTTCTTTGCTGTTGGTTATCAATGTTATATCTGCTACAAAAAATTATTCTGAAGATGTATGATTCATTCAAAATGTTGATATCGACTAATTTTAGATTTTCTGATTTTAATATTTCTAAAATGTTTTGGGAGAGAATTTTAATGATCACTCCAGAAATTGTATCTGTAACAAGAGCTTCAACAGTGATTGAGTCATTAGGGCAATGTATACTTTTCAGGGTAATTCGAACAACATTATATTAAAATTAGTCTATCCTGGATAAAAATATTAACCAAAAGACAAATTAACTAGACTTTTTAATTTTCATTGTAAAATTAACTACTATCCATTTTTCAAAATATTTTTTAGCTTTTTATCACATATTAAACATTACAGAACAACATTTTAAAAATTCGTGCTCTGTGTTCCATCATTAACTTATTGGAAAATATCCACCAATCCTTATTTTAATAGTAATTTCTACTAAGCTGTATATACACAACTAAAATGTAATGTAATACAAAATTGTCTTTGTAGACTAATTCTGTTCTGCATCTTGTGTGAGGACTAGTTTTCTGTACTGCTTTTATCTCCATAGTTTAAACTTGGAATTACTGTATCAATATATTTTACTTTGAATACTAAAGTGCAAAAAATGAGAATTGACAGAAGTAGATTGTGGAATATTCTCTATATGTAAATTGCAATAAGGGTATAAAACTTTTTAGATATTTAAGTGTTAAATGTTGGGAGATTTTTTTCTAGTGATCATAACACATTTCCGTGAACAGTATCCATTACTGAATGTTGTGGCTTATGGAATTGATTTGATGAAATGTGTTGCTTTTATGGAAATTATTCAAAGAACAAAAAATGCTTTGTAATATTAGCTCTTTGGTATTCTGATGCTATGACAGAGTTTTGTAATATATATAATTAATTAATGTTCCAAGTAAAAATTTTTATTGACAAAGATTCTAAAGAAATCCATTTTGATTCAAAATTTAAGATTACATCCTGATGAATGCTTTTAAAAAATTATTTAAATTTTTTATTTATTTATAAAAAGAAAAATGAATTTATTGTTTGTTTACTATTTCTTTATTGCAGTTCATCTGGATATAATTAAGAAACATAGCTCTGTTGATAATTCTCTTAGCTGCTCCTTGACAAACTACAGAGAATCAACTTTTGTTATTTAGTAATTTTACTTTGCTCTAATTTACTTCTGTTTCAAAATTGAGTTCCGAGTTTAGCCTTCATGATCCGATTTTTGCTTTTCTCATGTTAGGTAGCTAGCCACTTTTGATAGATTTGTAATATATTTTATTCTATTCTCTCCTTATGTATTAAAAAATTTGGATTTAATAAAGCAAATGATTTACCAAATATTGTATCTTTAGCGAAAGGACTTTGGACTCTATTGAAAAGCATCTTCCTCCATGATCCTTTATGATTCCCACTATGTTGTTCTTTGATTTCCTTCAAGGGGAAGCTTCCTTTTTTGGAGCCAACTTTTAAGAAACTATGAAAAATAACCACAGTTAAGTAACCTATTCAACAAAAATAATTGAACTGAATATATAAAACATATGGATATGTGCCATGAACTATTGGAAATATTTAAAGAAATATAGTTACTTAATTTAGGATGATATAGAATGCGAAGGCTTCAGAAGTATAAATTTTTAAGAGGAATTTCTTCCTAATGATAATTGATACACAGGGTAATTTGAAATTCTTCAGCAAACTTTAAGGGGGGATATAACACATCTACACAAGCACTTTCTGCCATACAATGAATGGTAATAACTCAACCAGTAATAAATCAAGCAACAGAAGCACTTTCCAATGAAGCACAGACATATTGTTTTTGCAGTTGCAAGACCATTAATTTAAGGAGGAAAGAATCATTTCATAAATCATGCGAAGGTGGACACGTATTTCGTATGCAGAGCTCTAAGCAAAAGAAGACCTAAGACTGTATCAAAATACTTTCTACAAGACACATGCCAGATCCTAAAACTTTTAAGTGATTGTGAGTACCTATGCAAAACAAACTTAAAGTAATCTGCACATCATACATCACATTTGTAACGGCAACATTTCTCAATAATGTTTGTTGGGGCTGGATTTGTCTTGACTGAAGCATAACCTTTTGCCAAGTTGATTGGACAGAAGAAGATGTAAGGTTTATGTTAATTAACCAATTATTATGACCTGAACCTCTGCTATCATTTATTCTTTTGTAGTCTTCATAAGAATGCAAATTATTCATTTGCATTCTCTCTTCAAATCTAGGGTTTTTAATGTCTTAGTGTTACAGCTTTTGGAAGCTTCACTTGCAATTTCAAATAGCATGAATTATAATCTGCTGCCACAATGGTGAAAATGTTCGAAGAAGTGGAAAGCCATCTCGGGGGGGAGGGGGGTGCTATACTGAGTTGTGGCATTATGGGTTGCTACATGAATACTTTTTAGTGACACAGTGCATTGCCACATCAGCACTTTTTCATGGCTTTCAGCAAAGGAGTGGATAATTAACATATACTGGTTGCAGCTGCGAATACAAAGTATAAAAACTTGTCTGTTGAGGTTCTCTGAAAAGTATGTGTTTCATTTTAAACTACCATTTGGCCTTCTTTAAAAGACTCTCACTAACCATCCACTTTAGAATGGAAGAGATACTCACCTCCAGATTGAGTTTTTAAAGTGTCAAATAAATATGAAATTGGGATGATAACTTTATAATGAAAAATCTAATGATGGTTCACCTTACAAAATTATTGTGAATTTCCTGCTCTGATATGTGGATTACAAATGGTAGGGGTGATGGAAAGATAAAAAAGCATTACTCTTAACATGTTATATTACACATACTATTGACAAGTTGACGATTACATTGAACTCTATACAAAGTGTCAAAAATCCAGATTACATGTAAACATCACTCATATACCTATAAGATTCCTATAAAACAAATAAATTTTGTCTTCAGATTCAAATTTAATCCTCAATAAATTCTGAGTACATAAAAATATTCCAAAATATGAAATATTTTTGTTGCCAAAAATTTTGCATACAAGGTACTAAAACCTATAAGTTATCCAAATTGAATTAGAAAACTTTCATAAAAAAATTTCAAGATATAAAACAAAATAATAATAACAGGTAAATACAGCAATACAAGCAGACTACATCACAACAAATAGCTATTCTTTAAACAAAATGTTGGATAATAATGTAAGCAAAATAAATATAACCAATGCATTAAGTCAGTTATAAGTAACATATATATTTTTAATGATACTGTGCAGGTAGTATTGAATTAGTATTCAGCAATAATATTAATAGATTTTTAAAAAATCTCCCCTACTCATGCAAAAAACATAATACATCAAAGTTTTAATGTGTTTAAAATATGAATATTTTGTTAAATTTTTATAATTATTTGCCTATAAAATAAACTAAAAAGGTGAAGCTTTCCTGGAGAGAATGCAAACAGCTTCTATGCAAAATACAAGTGCAGATAAACTAACAAAAAATATATAAAGCATACTTCATGCCTATTACAAGATACAAGAACTTACATGTTTCTCAAGGGTGATGCTTTTAATGGCATTCTTGGGAGTTCATTAATTTTTACTTCAGATGTAGTCATAATATTCTCTTTACTCTGGGATTTTTGATGTTGCCCTTGATGCAAATCCCATATCACTGCAGCAGTATCACTCAAAGAGCGCTCGGTACCAGATCTAAGAGATGCAGATTCTTTGCGTTTCCTCTCTGCAGGTAGTGTGTTAGTTTTGGGGATTTCTATTAAAGGAGCCATACTCTCGGGTACAGTTTCTGGTTTAGTGGTTGATTTTTCATCTTCTGCTTGGATATCTGGTATATTACTGACGATTTTTAAGGGATGCCTGATGATCTCGGACCATCTGAGGATTCTTTTTATCACCAATGAATTTATAGTCAGTGCGTGCACCAACAGGTAAAGAATAAGCTTTGGTAAGAGGTTGATCCTTTGGCAATAGAAGAAAAGTAAAGAGAGTCAGAAGGAAAGAAAAGCAAAAAGCATAAAGATAAAGGATAAATACAGAGAGATTATCGTCCCTACTTCATAATGTCTTTTTTTTATTTAACCCTTTAACTGCCGCGGGTATATATATTGCTCAGCCTTGCTCAGCCGATGTGTTAACTGCTAGGGCGTGTATATATATATATATGCCCTTCTGAAATGCTATCATTTGCTTTGCGCTGCTACCAGTAAAATTATTCGCAAAGCTTAGAAATGCAACACTACAATGACCTTGACAGAGTATGCAAAGGTGAATGCTATTTCAAAGAAGGGGAGACTTGGAGAGGGGGATGTTTCTGAAGCGGTGAAAGTAATGACTGCCCAGTTATAGTCGTGCTTCTGTTTGAGTGAAATGTATTTTTTAAAGCGTGTCTTCCATTTTCGTTTACTGTTTGTAGTAGGTGTCTTTTTTACGAATATGTATGATAGTGAAATAGATGATCACTTTCCGTCATCTTCAGGATCGGACACCTCAGAATATGATATTTGCGACTATTCCCGAAAGATGCTCGATGTTGGGTATGACTTGATATGGAAAACTTGCCTATGCTGTCTCCACACTTTTCATTTAGATATACTGATTTTACAAGGTATAACACTGAAACCTGATATTACACTTTACTGGTTAAAAAATAAATTATCAAAACTCCATTTTTGGGATCTTTTTTAATTACACATCTCTTTTATTATACTTTTACTCTAAACATTAAATTTTGTATTTTCATTTTTTCTTTATTCTTTATTTTGTGAAAGTAAACAGGTTTCAGACAGCAAAACTTGCACTTACTTTCCCCCAATACATCGCATAACCTGTGTAAAAAAGGTGGCACTGGGGAGTGAATCTTGTATGTTTTTTGCGGCAGTTAAGGGGTTAAACAAGCACCTAGCAGATATTTTTGTAATACCACTACTGGAATTTAATAGTTGTTTTACCAAAATTTCTAATTTAGATTATAATACACTGTATCTGTTCTTCTTGTATGATTTTGTCAAGTAACCATTAAAAGCTATTCTAAAAAGTTAATGGTTCAACAGCATTTGAAAAACTGATGAATGCATTTCAACATCTACAGAAATATTACTATGGCTATAACTATTACTTGCAGAACTTCTTTTCTGGGTCTCTTAACTATTACACTGCTAACAACAAAATTGCTTTTGCACCATATTTTTATTGTTCGTTACTTATCCTCCAGTCCATCTCACGATAATAATATTGAAAAATCTTTTCACTTTTGAAACTTTTATCATAGTGTTCTAATTTTTCCTTTTCAGGCAACAATTGTAATAATTTACAACTAATATTCTATAAAATATCTATGTGGTAACTTCTGAGAAGTTCTGGTGTACACTATGCTTGTAGCTGCAGATGAAGATGATGTAAGATATTGCTTATGGTATTATGTTGCAATTACAGGTGAACAAAGGATTAACAAAGGATGTTTATCTAATATCAAAACCGTAAAATAAAAGAAAATGAATTTCTATTTGCTCACCCAAATTTAAGCTTATTATTGAAAAGAGAATAAAAAACATTAAAGAATATAACTGGTAGACATATTTCTTTCTAGTATATTTTCTGATAAAGCTAATCTTTAATACATTTAAACAACCAGAAACAATGTTAGATATCATTTCTTATATGTAAAAAAAAAAAAAAAAAAAAAAAAAAAAAAAAAATTGAAACTTTATATTAGATGAAAAAGTGAGAACGAGATCAAGTCCTCATTTAACTACTCAGCTGCTAAATCTGATATATTTTTATTTTTGTTTCAAGATGTCAAAGCAATATTAGTTCGGAAAGGTCAGAAAAATTGCTAACTACTTTACAGCATAATTTGTTGCACGATTTATTAATTTGTACTTTATTACAAAACTATTTCAACTAAAAAAATTGTAATACTCATATTATAATAAATGTCCATTTTTAAACTATATACAGTCAAAAGTCGTTAATTCGGACCTCAAAGCTAAAAACTTTCTGTGGATGCGCCGCGTTGACACATGCGCATAGGCGTTTACGTGTGCGTGTAAGACCTTTTACCACTGCGCATATGCGTGCGCGCAAGCGCAGAATACGTTTTCGTGTGCGCGTTTTATGTATAACGGACGGTATAATCTAAAATTATCTATTTCAGTTAATGTTGATGATTGCGTTGTTCCTTAATCTTCGAATTCGATTAGGCTTATTATTTTTTGCAGACTGTAAGAGCAATTTTAAAAAAGTAAACTTGAGCTTTTGATTATGTCAAATAGAATTTCCTATTCTGGAGCTCCCAAAGGATCGTGCAAAATGAAAGTATGTTTCGATGTCCATCAAACAAAAAGTGGAATTACTGCAAAAAATGGATAAAGACATGAAGAATGTGACAGAGAGGTTAGTGAAAACGAGAAAATTTCGATTGAGAAGTTAGTCGGTATTCTCGGCACAAAAATTAACGGGACTTGAGCAGCGGAACTTTGTAACTGAACAAGAAATTGTGTCTGTTTATAGAATTAAAGAGAAAGTATTATCACATAAAACAAAGCAACTTAAAACAACTTACATTGAAAGAAATGTTGAATAAAGTAAACAAATAAATATTAAGCTTTTTTTTTGTAAATTTTGATATCCTTTAGATTACAATTGTTCTTTATTTCATAAATTAAGGTTTCATATTTTTAATTTTAGAATTTCTGCATGCCATCTTACGAGATTTAAACTGATGATCTATAATCCGGAAAAATCGATAATCCGAAATCGCCGAAGTCCTGACGAGTCCGGATTAACGACTTTTGACTGTACTGAATTTTTTTTCCAACAGAAGCAGAATAAATCATTTATAACGATAGCACTATTTAAACCAGGCCTCGGCAACCTATGACCCATGGATCATCGAGTGACCCATTTCACAATTTCAAGTGGCCCACTTGAGTTCCGAAAATAAAGTATAATATTTTAAAATAAATTACAAAACCTAAATATGAAATTAGCACTTGAAGAATACATAAAAAATAAACTCAAAATAAGTTATATATATAAACCCAAAGTAAACCCAACAACATATTTTTTCATTAAAAAGTTGCGGCAACGAACATGAATATTTATTTTTAAAAGATAAAAAGTGTAACATAATTTCAAAAGAAATCAATAAGTTTGGCACTGCTGACCCATAATTAAAAAAAAAATGGCTTTGCCATTTTGTCTGCATTTGGTTCAACTTATTAAGGCAAGCAAATATTTTCACACATGAAATTTATTTTAAAAACAGGGGCAACATAAGCATAAGTACTGGAAATTCACATGTTGGTATTCGTCTTTAGACGAGTAACTATAAATCAGACTTGACTAAATTGAGATCGCAAGTTCAGCATCTGGGGAGCCATTGATATCGAAGAGACAAATAAAGTTCATTTAGTCTTACAATAATATATAGAATTATAATTTAAATTTTTATGTTTAAATTTTAAAACTTTTCAATTATTTTCTCAATAAAATTTATCTTATTCACCAAGAAAGATCATTCTAAAATGAAAATACCACTGACCCGAAACATCTTTTTAAGACAAATATTTTGGTTGATTGTCACCCGCAGCCAAAAAAGGTCGCCGATGCCTGATTTAAACAATTATGCTTAATTATATAGGTTAAGCAAAAAATTATGCTTAATTATATAGGTTAAGCAATACCTTAATTTAAAATTCATAGCCACCCCTCCCATTTAAACTGACATGGAATTTAGTATACAGTAAATTTAAAATTCACTCTTAGATTTTTAATAAATGAAGCTTAAGATTCAAACCAACTGATAATTTTTTAGTCCAAAGAGGCAATTTGCCCAGAAGGACTATTAATTTCATTCTGGCATTATGCATCGGTTCACTTTTTAAATTGTTGTCACCAAATATTAGAACCCTGCATTATATTTAAAGAAATTAAATAATGAAGAATCTGCACGAGTGTGTGTATGTTTCTCGCAGTGTAAAAAAACAACTGTACCTGAAGCCATCAAAATAACCACATAATTTAACTTGATTTCCTAAGAAATATAAACAATTAACCTTCCTATTTTTAAGAATTTAAAAAAGAAACTATGATTTTATTGCTCAAAGTACAGGCACTAACAGAGGGACCACAGAACTTATTAAAAGATGAAAATGAATAATGTAGAAACATGAGAATTGGAGAAGTTTTGATAAAGAAGAGTTTTCACAAGAATAACATATCAGTATTTTAAATAAAAAAGAAAACTAGAAACTAATATTTTTCACACTCATGTACAGTAAGAACGTTTCTACTAAATGAAACATGGCTTATTATTATTATATTATTATTGAAAAGGGATTATCATCATTTTTAAAGTTTAGAAGTAACAGTTAGGAACACAAGGAAAAAATTAGGAGTCATTCCTTTTTTCCCACTGATTCCAGAAGATTTCAGAATGAATACCCTCTACTAAAAGATTAATGTGATCAAACTTCTGAAGAATGAGATAAATTACATTTTAGTTCGCCTCTTACACAAATATCAACATCCATGACTAACGTGCAACATAAATCTTGTAATAATGTATAACATAAATCTTGTAATAATGTGTAACATAAATCTTGTAATAATGTGCAACATAAATCTTGTAATTATGTGCAACATAAATCTTGTAATAATGTGTAACATATATCTTTTTACACATCAGGTTACACCATAACAAAGCTCATTAATATACAGTCTGACAATTAAATAATAAGTTACATAAAAAATAGATTAAAAAAAGCACATTTTATATTCAATCACATTCCTCTTCCACTGACACATGAAGTGGCATGATCTAATACAGCTTGCAACAACTTAACTATGTCTTTAGATAATACTGTGTGGTACTGACTCAATGTTACAGCCCTTTAGAGAGGTATCTTTGATTCCTCCTTCATGTCAAAGAGGTATCTTTTCAATAGTAAGTTTGAGAGGACAGAAAATAATTATAGGAGGACATATCTGAGGAATAGAAGAACAGATTGTTAAACACACGCACTTGCTTTCTGGCCACAAATTCTTGCAAAACTACAGATCATTTAACTGGCATTTTATCATAAAGAATGAAGCAACCACTATATACTGAACACTTAGACCATGAATTCTCTTCTTCAGAAATTTCAAAATACTTGAAATAAACACCGGACTGATAATTTGTTCTGCAGAAACAAATACATGACGAATAATTTATGTTCCAAAGAAACACACCAAAATTGACTTTGCTTTTGATTTTTGTTGATTGACACTTTTTCCTTTAGATGATATTGATCATTCAGACCTCACATTGATCATTCATGTGTGGGATCATAGTTGAAATAACACATTTTATTCTCAGCAACAATCAGTTTTAAGAAATTTTAATTCATCTGATAAGTTAGCATAGCAAACATAACCATGCTTTTGATAATCAGAAAAAGAATGTGGCACAAACTGGGAAGCAAATTTTTTCTTGCCCAAGTCTTCAACTAAAATTTGATGATTTGTCTTCCAACTAGCTTCATACTCATCAGTCATCACTTTCACAGTCAATAATCTTCCTTAAATCCTTCTCTGGCTTTAGCAATGAGTTCAGACAGAACTCAGACATCTAGGCTTAGTTTCATCTTCAGTCTGTTTTGTACCATTTTAGAATTATGGATCCCCCTGTATATCTGTGCATGGTATGAAAGATTATTCTTATACATTTGCTTCAGTAGCTCCTTTTCTGAATAATAAACAAAGTTAACAAAATCAGGCTAATTATTTCACTGTCAGACTCTGTATGAACTTCTGAAGTCAGTAAGTGATATTAACATTAAAAAATAATCTTCAGTTTACTACACATAAATCACCTAATATTTTTGGAAGATACATTTATAAGCTATTTAGATTTGTAAATATAAACTTATTATGACTTAATTTACAAATGACAAATTAGTTAATACTATTTATAGATTCTTAATCTTATTATGTAAATAAACTTCCAAGAAAATCTGAAAAAAATTCACTGGAGATGCATACTAGGAGATTACTATTATCTATCTGTTATTCATTATCTCTGTTAACCCTTTAGTGCTCATGCCTTTTTTATGTGTGACTCAAGTGACTTTTTAAGCTTTCTAAAATATAAAGAATATGCATTGTTTAGAAACCTGCTAAATATTTTCACAAGCTAATCTAGATTGTTGGAGCAGGGAAAATCCAAATTTTAACTATCGTCAGTTTAAAACAAAATATACTATTATGGATGTTTTTGTGAACATAAAACGGGCCTTAGGGATTAAAATTACTTTCATTCTTTACAAGTTCTGAAATCAATCATGAATAACTTAATGTCATGATATTTGCATAATACTAAGATACCTTCAAACCTCACAAGACAAACATACATTAATGCAAGCTCAGCAACATCCGTTCTTCTACATGACACAGGTATATGGAAAATTATTTGATTGATAACAGAAACAACAGCTATATGCCAGTTTGAGCTTTAAAAAATGGAAAAATTCAACCTTTAATATTATTTTCAAATATAAAAGCTTAATATATTTCACAAGATGATTGACACAATCTCTTTTTTTTTCAAGCAGCAAATTATTCTGGTAGAATAATTAATTTCTCGGGGGGGGGGGAGAGTATATATTAGCTTACTTTCAAAATGCACTGTGCTTTTACATTTGCAATTTATATTAAAGGCTGAATTTTTTCCAAACTTTACTGATACTGCAAAATATTTAAATGCAAGAGAAGAAAAAAATATTTTCTTATATTATTAAGAAATATTTTAATTCATCTTTTAAAGAACAGAGAGCACCAAGATTATATTACTTTTTAAATTATTATCAAGATTATATTACTTTTTATTCACAGAAACATTTTTTCTACTTTATTGTACATTTCTTTCAATTCTTCTTCAAATATTTTTGATCTTACAACTCAAGTACACACTTTAACTTGATGATCATGAACATATATTTGCTAATATGGGTCTTCTTACAGTGGTTTGATTTTTTTTTTTTGTTTCAAATAATATCCCATTGTGTTAACAAATAAAAACATTGTGGATTTTAAATAAGAAGGAAAATTCAAAATTTTCACTTAAAAATTGAACTTTATTAAATTAGGTATGGCCCTTTTTTGTTGACGACCTTTTGCCATCATTCAGGCAGTATCATAATTGTATATTCATAATACTTTCGATTTTAGTCAGCTAAAAACTGAATTAAATAATATTTTACATCATCAGCATTATTAAAAATTTTATTATTTAAGGATTTCTGCATGGAAATAAATAAATCTGAAGAACCAAGGTCGGGGTTATACGTAGGCTGTCAGAAAAGTTTCCGACCTAACAAAGAAAAAATATACTTTTTTCTCTCCAAAATTACCTTTATTTTTCAACATAGTCTCCTTGTAAGTCTATAAATTTTTCCCCGCTATGCTCCCATCTTTTTAAACTGCCCAAATAATATGTGGAATCTTTCTCTGCAAAGTTTTCTCATTTGACGAAAATCTTTGTTCTCTAAGTCCTTCTGTTAGCTTAGAGAAAAAAAAAAAAAAAAGTCATCTGGTGCTGGGTATGGTGAATAGGGTGGATCATCAAGCAATTTAAGTCGTGATTCATGGAATTTCACCTTTGCAACCGCTGAGGTGTGCGACATGGAGCATTGGCTTGGTGAAACAAAATTTTTTCTTTTTGCAAGTGTGGCCGTTTTTCCGCCTTCAGCTTGTTAAGTAATATTGCATAGTATGCTGTGGTAATGGTTTTCCCTTTTCAAGATAATACATTCAGACTTTCCCATAGCTGTCCCAGAAAACTGTTGCCATGACTTTCCCAGCAGAAGGAACAGTTTTTGCCATTTTGGAAGCCAATTCTCCATTTGCAGTCCACTGTTTTGACTGTGTTTTTGTTTCTGGGCTGTAATGATGAATCCAGGTTTCATCTACATGATTAATTGCACCAACAGAAGACAAACATTCTGAATAAAGACATGCTCATTTAGACACGTTTTCAGTCCAAAGTGAGCAAACGCGGCACTCAACGTGCAGCAGCTTGCGCATATTCAAATCTTGGTTCAGTATGAGGCAAAACATTCTTTGGGCAAGCTATAAGCCTCTGCTATCTCTCTAACCATGATTCGATGTTCGTCAGCATCATTTAGTGGATTTTTGGGATATTTTTGTCACAACTGCAGTTTTGGCAGCCCTGAACGCTGATCGTCATCCAAGCTGGTACGGCCATGTTAAAATTCAGCTGCCCAAAATTTTACAGTAGTAAATGATGATGCAGTTTCCGTACACTGTGTCCAACTTCTTTTTAATCTGAGTAGGCATTTTACCTTCTAAAAACAGGTATCTAATTACAGCACAATATTCGATTTTTTTCCCCCATTTTTAAAAGAACGGCCACATCAACTCAGAAAAGTAATTGTCGAACAAATCATTTGCATTCAAAATAGCTGAAATTTTGACTGGTAGTTTTCAAGTGATGCCCAAACAAATTCCGTCCCCCTCACTTCTGTTGATTTAAGTTGCCATCTACATATTGAGGTCGGAAACTTTTAAGACAGCCCTCATATGATGGAAGTGACAACACATCTCAACCTAGTTCATATAATTTTTGGCAAGTGACCAAAGATGTCTGGGGCTTTGAACTGTCATGTTGGAAAACAATACCCTTATGATTTAATGAAAACTGAGCAAAACTGAACAATGCAGATATCAGATGCAGAATTCATACATGCAAAGTTTCATAATCCCACCAAACTGACAGCATAATCTTTTATTGGTGAACCTCAGTTTCAATGTTGTCTGGGCTGGTTCATCCGGCTTTAGCCACGATCTTTTTCGATTAATGTCCACTTTTTATTGCCAGTAATCAGTCATTTCAGAAATGGATCAATTTCATTGCATTTTCATTATGAATCGCAGATACTAATGTATTGTGTCAAATGAATTTCCTTAAGCTGTTGAAGGACACATTAAAATTCTTAACAAAGCCATAATTTCAATTTTTTTTTTAATGCATGTATGCGATACATTGAGTTTCTCTGCATTCTCACATGTTGTCGTATGACGATGTGAATCGAAAATGGCCTTGATATGGCTCTCGTCAGCTTTAACTGGACAGCCAGATCATTGCATATTTTTCACACCAGAATGAAATTTAGCCAACCAATTTTGACACTGCCTTTCTATCGAGGCTTCATCCCCATATATGGTACATAACTCCTTGTATGTTGCAATGCGTTTTCTTACTGTTTCAGAAATAATACAATGTGTCTGAACTATGCATTTGTTCTATTTTTAAACTGGGGGGAAACAAAGCTAAATAACTAATTGATACAATTTTCTTGCTAATTAAAGACTGAAGTCAGAACAACAAGAAAACAGGTATAAGTTAGATGCTTTGAACATGGTGAAAAACAAGAGAATGTCATGAAACCATCTTTGCCAACCCAATATTCACAAAGTATAAAACCTTATCATCATCTTTTTCTATGACATACTTTATGCTAAAATAAATATTATCCTGGAAAGTGACAGATGAATATGAAATATTACACAATAATGCAAGATATTTAATGCATAAAAACATAAAATAACAATTGAGATTCCTTTAAAATAATGTGTTTGCATTAATTCTTTAAAAATATTATCATATTTTAAGATTACAAAGTTCTGAAGCCTATTGATAAATTTTTTACTGTCATTTACTGCATGAAGTTCAAAATTCATTTGAACTTTAATAATACAAAAATAAAGAAATTTTATTTTCATTTTTAATAAAAAAAGCCCTTTTTAAAAAATACTTAAAACTATACTTTTGTCAGAATACAAATATTTATGGGATCCTATACATAATTCGATATTTATTACATGAACAATTTTAGAATGTTAAAAATTTTAAATCTTACTTTAAAAGTTGAGTCAAATGTGTTTGGGAAGGTCTTCTTTGCAATAGATGTAAGACTGCTTAATGGAGACAAAGCTCTTTTCTATAAGAAAAATGAAACACAATAAAGTAAAATAATTTAAATTATTTTAGATTTGATATATGTTGTACCTCATGACATAAATGCTACATAAAAAGAATTAAAAAAAATATTATAAAAAAATATAAATGTCAATAAAGGGCATGGAATTTGAGAGTTCCATTAATCCCTAAACACACTATTTCCTAAAATCACCAAGATGTTATCAAGATTGTCATATTAATTAAAGCTTTTAAAATGAGTTCTAGTTATAATACATTTTGGACCTACTACAAAACCAGATTAAGCAGGGTAAATGCAGTTATTTCCATGGAGATAAAAAGGAAGGTAAAAAGGAAAGGCCCTAACCCTATAACAGTTTTCCCTATACACTGCTTTGAAGCACTGGTGATCCCTTCGTCATAACCAAAACATTGAGTAATTACGTCATAAATATACATATAAATGTACATATTTTCTTTTTCTACAATATTTCAGAGTCCTAAATATGTGAAAAGAATACATTTTTAAACAACATTTCATTCTAAACTGAATTAAATGCTATAATTTTCACAGAATAGTTTGCTCAGAATGGTTTAATTTTAATGAAATATTTTCACAAGTTTTCATTAATTACAGTAGAAAATTTTTTAAGGTTATTCGATTTTATTCGGTTAAGGATTACAAAAATTATGATCAAAGTTTATTGTACTATCAATATTAAAATTATGCATTATTTCTTTTCTATTTATAGAGCTACTTCCTAAAATACTTTCTTAAATGTGACATGAATTTTTAGTTTCTAAGGCATCTTTTAAATAAATTTAAAGTCAATTTATAATTAATACTCTATTTGGTCCATTTCAAATTAGAGCACCTTTTATTTTAATAGTGAAGTACATTAAATATTGTGCTCATTTGTACATTTTCTGAAAAGGAAATGTAAAAAGGATTTTTTTAAATATTATTTAAACTTGTAATTGAGTTATTATAAAATGTAATGTATTCTTTTAATTATACTTATCATATTTTTTTAACCTTAATTTCAACAATATGTATTCTTAAACTCTTCTTTATGACTTCCTCAAGTATGCATCTCATAAAATTTGCTTTACAATACCTTTTAACAGATTGCTTTCCAGTATGAACAATTCTTGCTTAAATAGTTTTATAAATGTATTTGTCAATAGGATTTCAATTTATATTTACCATTCAATGTTAATGCTATTATATATTTAGATAATACTTATAATCATTATAAATTTAGGATAAACATTTTAAATTTAGGATACATTTAATAATTAGATTTCTACACACTAACTTTCACAGGAATTTATGAATGCATAAATCCTTCATTTCAAATACATTTATAAATAATTTAATAAATATTTAAGTATTTTGTTAGAGACAGATACATGCTTTTTGAAAGCACATGCATAAATACCCATACATATTTCTGTGCATTCACTATATTTTTTGAGTAAAGTAATTCAGAATAATTTAGCATATACCCAAAATTTTTACATAAGAAATATGTATAAATGGTACTTTTCTGTTTCGCCGGCACAAATCTCGCCAAGCAGACTTTGTTGGCGACAGCATATACTATACACATAAAAAATGTTAATAAATGTTAGTTCTAAGAATTTTTTATTTTGATATGGTTTGATTTTAATATGGTTTAAAATTTTGCAAAAAGCCAATCAATAAAGACAATAAATTTGTAAAAAGACATTAGTTTAAGAATTTACTATGCTTTCATGGTTCAACATAATGATTCGCCGGTTCTTATCACACGTGACCCCAAGCAATCTCATCTCGTGTAAACTACGCTACAAAAATGTAATTCTCTCAGTAATTATCTACATTAATTTCAAGTTGAATCTTAATCTGGAATAATAGCTTAAATGCAAGAATTATTTCAATTCGTACTCAGAAATTATGTAAAACCGCAGTGCTTTACTTTGCTAGTGCATTCTCATTAGAATTCATAAATTTAATCCTTGATTTTGCCTTTCTATATTTTCGACTTCTGGTGAGCGATGTGATTCCATCCTAATTGATTTAATTACCGCGAATGGTCTTAGGGCATCAAATTGAACTATCTGGACTATTGAACTATAAAGAATATCACATTAATAGAAATAAATGAAACATGCGAAATACTAAAATTATAGCTATAAGTATGACACCAAATACTGTACACATGAAAACAAAATTACAAATAAGAAATATAAAAGAAAAGTAAGCAATAATTATCTGTAGGTAATTAAATTCCAATTTAATAATTCTGCTGCGTGTGGAATAATTTAAAATAAGAAACGACACACACGATAATGGTGGCATTTTTCGCTGAGCAAGTAAGATATATCATGCATCGGGAAAGCTGATATCTTTTGCCTTCTATAGTAATGCTATAAAGTTATCTATGAATTAAACAAGAAAGTTCTATATTAAATTTTAAAATAAATATAAAAAAAGAAAACTGGTATGAACTTTTCCATCATGGAAGTTCGGCGACGTTACACCGGCTATAGTCAGCTAGATGCGTTTTCCCCATTCTCCTAACAACAACAAGAAACAAACAAACAAACAAACAAAAAAAAAAGGGGGGGAATAAAACATTGGACTGGATGCATTTCCTGACATTCTAATAACTAAAAATGAAGACAACAGAAAAGCGAAATTCCTAACGAAATAAACAAACACGCGGTATCCCTTTAAACTTAAGCCAGTTTGTTTACAATAAATCTATCACAACCAGAAACACAGAACAAAAACTGATGCTCATATATGAAGGTCAAAAGTCACATGACTTAACCGATGTGAAAACCGTTACCATTCAGCACCAACTATTGGCATTTAAAAATTCAAATAAATTGTTCCGTTTTCAAGTTATGCATATGCGACACTGGGCTGGTAAGAGGGGAATCGTTGCGTCGCGCATACACGACACTGGTCCTGAAAGAGTTCAAGGTTTTACACCCCTACTATTTTAATACACAGAGGTGATGTTATGAAATTTGCAACTGTATTCAATCCCACATATAAAGGGACTATCCAAATTATTAAACAGTTTAGTACTTTCTGATTATCTGCATTCCTGTGAAAAGTTGCTAACTCATTGTTGACTATGTGGATTTGCAAAAAATGCTTTTTTGCAATATGGCTCATTGATATTGTTTTATTCACAAATAATAATGAAGAAAAGTAATAAATTTTCATATGAATTCGAAATTTTATGGGGAAAACGTAACTGTTGTCTCATGTATACTAAATATATATATATATATTAAAAACATGGCAATTTTATGATTAATTAAAATTAAAACTGAGGATGTGAATAATCAGAAAGTACCAATATTTTAAAAAAAAGAATAAGCATGCCTAGTATCTTAAGGCAAGTAGGTTGAGCAGATTATCAAGTTGAGCCCGCTCCGATATCAAGTGCGACGGGTTTTCTTCACAAATATGCCAATGATCCCGCTTAAAATATTATACTTATGGCATGGATCATGTATAACTTCTTTCTAGTGATTTTAACAATTCTCTTCTCCCCAAAAATAGTTTCTTAAAATTCACTTCTTTTCAGGCAAAATAGCTTTCAAATCAGCAAAATAGATAAAATAAAACTTTAAAAAAAAATCATATACAAGTTTGGTTTATCTGATTACGGCAAAGCACTCAAGTGCTACTGTGTATGGGAAGGGATGTCTTTGTCGATACTTTCTAAGGAAAACTGGCTCATATACACAATACACATGGGAAAAACTACAAAAATACCCAGGCAGCCAGCCTGTTCAGAGGATTCGAAACTTGAACCAAACTACCAGTGTTCAGTAACTTTACCATTTGGCTGCTGGTGGGCTGTCATACATAGGTACTTTCCACATAATGCAGTTGGCAACTTCTTAGTAGAAGTTGTGACATATAAAATCTTGCTATACTAGTACACAGAACATAAGTGTTTTATAAAATTATTCACTATTTTCCTTTAATAACAATCAACAATGCTTTATTAAAAATATCAACAATGATAAGGTAACAAAATAGCAATATGACACACTAAAAATTTTTTTTAGTTCTTTATTACTGTTAAGTTCCATTAAATGGTTATCATTATTTTCTTTATGGAGAAATATTCATACTTCCTGAGCTTTATTCCACAATGTATGCATTTTCATACTTGCACATTTCCAGCCTTCCCCAGAAAATTCTGTTACTTTTTTTTTTTTTTTTCTTTTTCTTGACAGATTTTTATATATTTCATTAGTTAGCATTTGTGTAGTTCTTTCTTTAATACTGCACTTGTTTTAAGGAGAGCCTGTATTTAGAATTTTTGTTTATTATTTTTAGGTCAATTACCTGCAGATTTTAATTTCTTTAACATTAACATCTCTATTTTATTAAATCCATTAAAAATTTGTCTACCTTCCCTATGACTCTTTACTGGTACTGTCTGGTTTTAAGTTAAAATTTCAGTTTAAAAACCCTGCTCTCAAATAACGCAGAAGTAAAATGTATGGCAAGAATGCCATGCAATATGTCACCTACACAGTTTTGTTGAAATTTAAAAATATAAATAACACTTTATGAAATACTGCAATGGAATATTTTTAGAGCTTTAAGAAGTTGAAATGATAAACTGAATTTAAAGTTGAGCTACAGCAATAAAAGCTAACGAAGTAATTCCCCTCTACATAAAATAATTCTTATAAATAAGAACTACTTATGTAGAGGGAAAATTAACAGCAATACCTTTTACAGTACAGGTGATTTCATATTATGTAGTCTTGATGCATGAACCATATTCTTTCATAATATTTTTTATTAGCACTATTCTGTTAATGGGGTTCTGCCACGTAGTGAAATATCTAAAGTTTCATGAACAAATAATGAATTGTAATAACATTAATATATGCAAGTAATGACAGAGCTGTGCACAATGTTGAATTTCTGTGATATTTTTAAGTGAAAACAGATCGCGGTGCACTTGGGGAGAACTGCTCTCCACATGTATGCAGCAATCTGTCTTTGCTTACAAAACATTTGAGAATTGCACAAATTTGGCATCGTGCACATTAAACACTGCATAGCTATTTATGAGGCAACAAAAACAGGCTACTATGTTTGGTGACTGCCGCCCCGTTAACAGAAATGTACCTGTCTACTCTGCACATCAAAACAGTAAATTACATAGCTTACATATATATACACATATTAAAATTTTTCAAATGCTAAAAAAATAATAGAATGTGAAGAAAAATTTCAGTTACCTCTTTACGATCTTTTGAAACAGTATGTGTATGTTTCATCTGTTTTTGTTCACACAATGCTCTCAATAAAGTCATAAATACAATGTTTTGCTCTGCTAAACTACGAACAATTATGTCCTGAATGATACATAAACAGATCACAATTAATAACAGCAGTTAAATAAAATATCAACAATTATATTTTAAATATGACAATTTACAGACGTTAACAATGGTCCATAGATTTCTGAATAAAATAAAATTAAATGAAATACAAACTTTACAATAAATTACAAACAAAGTGGGAAGGAAAAGACATCAATTTGTACAATTAATAAACAAGTTTGGTTTATCTGATAAAAGATAACTAAATAAAAACCACCATTAAATGAAATTAATAATAAACCATCATTAAAATATATTAACTGATATTTAGAGATAAAATATACAAATCTACAAAATTTACGTAATTAATAAATGAAGCAAATGAATAATGAACCATAGTTTAAAAATACAATACTTGATATTTAGACATAAGTTCTTTCTGTTCCTTTTCAGCTAATGCTGCTATGTGCATCATAATTACGGATTGCACTTGTTCAGCACTTTCACCTAAAATAAAAAATTTGAAACAATCAATTACAATTAATACTTTCAATAGTTAAAAAAAAAAAAAAAAAGACAGATATATGAGGATTAAGTCTACAAATGAGTTACAAAACATAGTTATAAGCTTCAGTTATGGGTATACATTTTAATTTTTTATTATATTTCACCACATGCTGGCAAGTTGCAAATGACATGCCACAGTCATTTATTATTGTAAAAAATTTACTAATATTCATACCGAGGTATGATTTCTTTTAAAAAAAATTTGCATATGTACAAAATAAGACCTTTTAGAATTAATTAACTTCCCCCAGAAGCTCATTTTACAGCACATGAAGTTTAAATCCCTTAAAATTATCACAATAATCATCAAATGGCTTGTGTTTAAAGGGAGAAAAGTGACACATAGTATCTAAAAGTATTCTAGTTACACATTCTGCAACATACTTGTTTGTCATAAAGTAACAATATGATGGGTCCTTTCTACAGGATTCAAAAGAATATTTATAACAATTTATTCTCTCATACAAGGCAAACACGTTTCAAGTATTAAAAGCATTTGTTTTATACATTCTTATTTAAAATATCTGCAGAGGAGAATGAAGTGATAAAGAAAATATAAAGCACCACTGTTAAATATGGCTAGATACTATTTAGAAATAGTTTCCAAAAATAATAATGGAATCTTAATATTTAAATTTTAAACCTTGCCTTTTCCAAATAAAATTAATGGTACTTACATGTTATCCCATCGACCATAAGACTCTCAATGAGCATCATGGTTTAATGTCACCTAACGACACACTCATAATACCTGTATTTTCATTTGAGGTAACCTTGATTGAGTCTCAATAAGCCATCTCTTATTTTTATAAACAAGGATATATATATATATATATATTTGCAGCATTTTGTTCTTGCATTTTTGAAAACCTGATTAAAAATTTAGGACCTACCTTCCACAAAACAACAAGTAGTGGATTATTTTCAAGGCTATGGCATTCTACCACAGGGTTCATTAATGAACCATGGTATGGTCAAAAAACAGAGTAGAACAATCACCTGTGGGAAATTTGTTCTCATAGCTTTCTAAATACAGCTTCCAATAAAATCGGTGGATTTACCCAAATAATAAAAAGGCTTTCTAAGAAATACAAAATCAAAATTAAAAAGGTGTCAATTCCTTAGCAATGAGTGGCTCAACTTAAGTAGGATCTCCACTAACTTTGATGGCAGACAACTTACACGGTCGATTGGATAATACTTAAGTACTGAATTTATAAATTAAAGTGAAAGATATCCACACACAGAAGAATAATAATACATGATTATGTTTTTAAAGATCTATATTTAAAAATGTTTTGCTACATAATATTTTAGCTGATTCTCAAAGGCATACATTCTAACTAACTTCTTTCAATCAGGATATTAATAAAATCATTAAAAAAAAGAGAAAGATTTAATAGCAGATGAAAAATTTAATAGCATCATAACATCATCATCATCTGCTATGATAAAATCATCATAGCGGATGATGATGTTATGATGCCATAACATAATAAATAAATAATTTCAAAAACTGAAAAACCTTTTGACCTAAACCTTCTAAATCTTTTGACACATTTATAATGCATTAAAATTTTTCTAAATGAAACACCAAATGATTACCACATCTGTTACAATTACACAATGAAAATTTTTAAATTATGTGTTTTATATATCACAAATACGAGAAATCAAAATCAGTCATTTTTATTTAAAAATTGTGTTTACCATTTTTAACTTACTTATTTTTATGTCATATCACAAGTCTATAATGCTATTTCAATACCTAATAATTCTGAACGAAAGCAATTACTAAAGAGCTACTTGGTGTGGTGTGTGGTGGTTTAGTTAATTATGGCAAAGCACACTAGGGCTATCTGCCTAAGGGGAGGGCTGCCTTTGTGGAGGACTTTCTACGGGAAACTGGCTCATATACACGTTACACATGGGGAAAACCACGAAAACACCCATGCAGCCAGCCCGTTCGCGGGATTCGAATTTCGGACCGAATACCAGTGTTCAGCGACTTTACCGCTTGGCCACTGGTGGGCTCTAAATAGCTACTTTGAATGGACTAGATTAAAGTGATTTTTAATTTAGGTATACTTATATTGACAATTTTTTCTTTAAATACAAAAATGATATGTTGTCAAAAAGGAAAAGGCAGAACTTGCGGCAAACACATCTAGGTTTCTGGCATTAGCCATTTGCTTAGCAAATGGGTGAAAATGGCAAAAAGAAATTTTATGATTTCAAGTAGCAAAGAAATTACTTCTTAGGTGATCTAAAAAAATTATTTTTTAGCAATGACTCACCTTCTGTGTCAGAACATAGTCGATGAAACCAATACATTGGACAAGTTTCACAAAAGTTAAATGTTTTCGATGAAGCTCTTTTTTCCTGTGAAGTCTTTAGGGCACAATGAAAGGACTGTTTTAGAGTTTTCATAATCTCATTAACCTGAAATATATTTAGAAAGATGAAATCCATAATATTATGCAATAAAAATTTGATACACCCTTGATAAAGCAGTAAGAAAGTATAAAAAAATTTTATGTTTTGTAAAATATTTGATCTACGAAATAACACTTTAAAACATTTATTATAATTTTATTGTTTAGGTTGATAATACATTAGAAATAAATAACTTTAAATACAATTAAGTTTTATCTAAAATTAGACATAATTTGAGAATACTGACAAAATTTAAAATTTGAATACCATAACAATATATTAATCTAAGGGATTCCTGAGTTCATTTTTAAATAACAAGTTCTTTCTGTTCCATACTTAAGAGTTTTCCATTCAGTAGGGACTGAAATGGATGACTAAAATAAAGGAATGAAAAATAAGCATAAGGTTTAAAAATAAACACAAGGTAAAAACTTTCACATACCCACAGAAGTCTATAGTTAAATATAAAAATACAAGTAGAATTTTTTTGCTTGTGGAATATATTAAATGATATTTAATTAATGAGAAATTAACTCTTTGCAGCACGGTGTGCTCGGTGGGCACACCTAAAAATTTCCTTCTGTACACACACAAAAAATAGAATGAAGAAGGATACATAGGTTACTCTGAACCTTCTTTATTTATAGCAGATGCCAGCACAACCCAAACCAGTTCATATATTTTTGCCATTTTTAGTTTTTAAAAGACCCTCACTTTTCAAAGAAATCTTCCAGATTTTTTTTAGGATATAAAAGGAATTGTTTAATAAGAAATTTCTATGTTATTTTCTTGGTTGCATGCTAATCTCCTTATTCTGTATTAGTTTTAAATTTGTACCCTGAAATCTTGCCTAAAATCAAACAGCGAACATCAGGTATGCCCAGAGTGGGATCCCAGAGAGACTACAACAAAACTGCATCTTTGTTTCTTTGCAGGTCACTCACAATAGAAAGGTGGGTCCTCATCTGTGTTTCTTTTCCTGTTTTTCTCTTCCTTTCTTTCTTTTTTTGGAGGGGAGGTTTGGTTATCAATTAAGAAACTGTTGGGTTCTGAAGGTCAGGAGCAATTTTATCAGTTAGTTGTTCGGTTTTTCACTAGAGTAGTTCTCTTTTTCTCTTTCACTTTCATTCAAAGAAGTTTTGTTAGCCCTACATTTTGATAGTTTTAAGTTGTAGACATTCATTTAATTTTATTTTATAGTTTATAATTTCTAACTGTAGATATAATATTAGTTAATTTATTTATTTTTATTTTTAGTTCTTTTCCAAATGGATTGGAGGGGGCTAACCCTTTCTGAAGCACTGAAAGTGCTACACAAATTGCCTTCAAACAGTGAATCTGATATGGATCCCGATACATGTACAAAACATGCAATGTTGGGTTTTTCAAAGGTAGTGTCACTTTCTTCGAAGAAGTACCATGATGGAAAAAATAGATGAAAGTGTAAATATGAAATGCAAATAATATAACTATCATATACCTAAGTTACATTTTCATTTATATGCATGTAATCATCATACAACCAAGAAGAGCTTTTTTAGGGGCTGTAGAGTAGCAGACCTCCCCATATCACACACTGGGTAATGCTAAACCTGCTACGGTATTCAAAATCTAGCATTTTTTAATCGTAGGCAAAATCTCTTACTCTCTTACGCGCTTCCCAGCAATGCTCGTTTCAGCACTCTTTTTGGAGCTCTGCTCATTGTAATTAAAACGATAAGTGAAAATTTTACCTGTATACTCTTCCAGACCTGATCAGACTGCTTCCCCCCCTTTTTTTTGTTAAAAAGTAAAAAAACCTTTAATAGGTAGCGTGCTGGAAAGGGTTGATGAAACAACGAAAAAAAAAATTATGCAAATGTTTAATATAAAGCCACCAATAATAAAATAGCAATATGTCATTCTTGAAACAAATATTTCATAGCTGAAAACTCTGATCAAATTTCTTCCACATAAAAAAGCTCTAAATTGATAAGCATGGTTGCACAACCCATTTTCATATATAAAGACGGTATGCATTTAACATTTCAGTTGTTACTGCCCTGAAAAATAAAGCAATTTATCAGGCTTAAAAAGGAATACGTATTGGCTTTAAGGCCAAGGTGGCATCATTTCAGAAAGTCCACAGTTTTTGAACTCGCTGTATCAAGAATGGCAAAATGACATTATACAAAATAAGCAGTATGGAAATTGCATAGCACCACAAGCTATAAAAGAAAGAGGTAAATAATGGCTCAGCAGTGCTTTGTGGCTGCCCACCATGGAGTAAAACAGCTCATTTCCCAAATGAAATGGGCGATTTGTATCCAAAATTAGAATTCACTGAGCCATGATGATGAGAAATGATACTGCATGGGTTCACAGCAGATGGAGATAAAGGAACATGTGCAAATGACTATTCATCAACAGAAGAGGCTGGAGTTGGCACAACAGTATTAACAGTGAACTCACACTAATTGGCAAAAGGTTGCCTTCTTCAACAAATCATGTTTGGGCTTTATTGGATGGCCCATACAACAAGAAACATTGGAGAACAAACACCGCTTCAAGAATTTGCCAAAAAAAACAAGATGGAGGAGGCATCATTATGGTCTACAGCAGAGTTTCTTAAACTGTGGGTCGCAACCTGCAACAGAAAGTTGCCAAAACTTTTAGCAGTTTTGATATTTCTTTACCTTATTAAAATTATTTTACAATTACCAAATATTTTTACACAATTTTTCTGAAAATAGATAAAGATAAGACAATACAGACAAAAGAAAAACGAAAATGTTTCCATGCATTTTTTTTATAATATAAATGTTAAATTTACTTGCTTTGCATATGACGCTGTCATTTCCTCTGCTACTTATTTAAAATTTTCACATTGTTCTATGTCTTAAAATTTGAAATTAAAGTTAATGACCTAAAACTACAATAGTATATTACAGTACCCGCAAACACAATATAGCAATAAATACACAATACATACATTTTTTCCCTCTTAGAAGGATGGCATCTTCCATGTTGCATTATCATACTTCTTAGAAGCATGATAATGCAACATGTTACACAGCTGGGATTATACACAAGTGGTTAAATGGGCATGAGAAAGACTTTGTGTACTTCCTTGGTCCCCAAATTCTCCTGACATACACCCAATGAAGAATTTATGGGACCACTTCAATTGGATTGTTCCCTTTATGGTTCCTCTGTTACACCTCCTCCAGAACCTGTCAATTGTAATGCAGCTAGCATGGTTCATAGTTCTGTGAACACGTTTCAACCCAAACAGCCACTGACTGTACTGCTTATGGCAATTAGTTCATGAGTGTAGAATCACAATAACATCTCATTGGACTTCACTGATGAAGCCCAGTGTCTCAAGGATGCAGTTTAAAGATCGGGGGGGGGGGGGGGGGGAGCAATATTTGTTCTGCACAAAATCTGAGCCATATAGCAGAAGGGTGAAACCTTTCAGTTACTTCTAGATGGTTACTCCTGCCTCATGTAGTATTGACCTGTTGTGCAGGAAAAAGACAGCGACATATCATAAATAAATCTCAAAAGTACTTAACAGTGAAATGCTGCAATTGCTATCAGATGAATTCATAATGATACAGCTGGACAGATGGTTGCTAACCAGTGGCAGAAATTCTTTTAAGAATTATGCTGCATGAATTTCATTAACTGTAGAATACCACTTTACATAAGTGGATTTTCGTGTTATCAAAGGGCTAAGTTGCTAGTTCTTTTTCATTCAAGTTTAGTTTGGTTCACATTGCCACAGAGGTATATTTTGTCTCCTCTGATGACAAAGGCATTATTAAAACAGTAAGATAACAAAGAAGCAGATGCTTCAAATTGATATTAGAAACCCCATTCCAGTGTTTCTTCCTCACCAAGCCAAGTATATACAGGTGACTGATCATTTAACTTTAAAATCTCTTCAAATTCCCGCATTGTTATATGTAAATCTACTATGACTCATTGTTGCAAACTGCCCCAAATAGGGATGATTTTCAAATTAAAGTTGCAATCACGGAAGTGCATGAAATAATAATATAAAGTGCAATACCAAATGCAATGTTAATATAATAAAATTTGGTACTTTACATATAGACAGTGGAACTGGCACTAAGCATCACAATATAGCACCAGTTATGGATAACACCCAGTGATGTAACCCAAACATAACATCTTCATTTTTGTTCCAAGTAACCCCGATAAACCGCCTTAGGGTTTTAAGAACAAGATATAAGTTAGCTGTTATAGCTGCATTTTTTTCTTTCACTTTGCTTACATGTGATTCAAAGATGTTAGGTTTGGGAATAACATCTGTGGATGCACTTTAGTTCATTTACAGCTGGTTGAGAGAATTAACATTTGTTAAATTGGGAAAAAATCAGAAATCGATTGAAACAGTTACTTGCAGGAAGTTAGCAGATCTAGTAAAACTATAGAGCTTAATAAAATAACAGAGATTGACAAAAGCCCTTTTACAAAGTGCAAAAATAAAGGAATTGAATACTAATTTTTACTAAATTAAGAGGCACCAGTTCCTCCAGAATTCTGCAGGAACAAATGGTGCAATTTCACAGGATCTCCACCAACTTTTATTGAAGGAATAATATGCAAGTATGTAATATAATCATTTCTTGAAAATTCTTTTTGATTACTATTAAGTTTTGTAATAAAATATTTAGCTATTAAAGATATTATAGCAACAAGAATCAGCTAAGTTGTGTAAATTTACAGGACTATAGTTTCAAAGGTTAAATAGAAACTTCTTCAGTAGCAGATGAATCATGAACTCATTCAGCAATAATAGACACAAAATTTAAGAAAGTTCCAGCCAAGGATATGAAATACTTACAGATGATGTAAATAATTAATTTTATGTCTTACTTAATAACTAAAGCCTTAAAAATACTTTGTCTGTCATCTACATTAGACAAACAGCTTCAAATATTGGAATTTGGGCTACTTTATTAAACTTGCTGTACATTAGAAAGCAAAAAAAAAAAAAAAAAAAAAAAAAAAAAAATAAATAAAAAAAATAAAATAAAATAAAATAAAATATATTTATTCTTACAATTTTAGCAGACTGACATTGGAAAATATATCCAATGTATGTATCCATGCCGCTCATGGTGGTTTCTCTACATATCATTCCAAAATGATCTGGATATTCCTCACCCTAACAAGAGAAAAAATAATCGCAATGAAACATCTGTCTACATGTTTTGTGGTTATTTATATGCAAAATGACATGTAGGAAAGTTCTGATAACAAGCTACTATCTTTATATCTCAAAATACGATTCTACAAAATGCTTCTACTTAACCTGAGCTCTTTGTTGATAGAATTAATTCTCATAAAAATTAAAATTATGGCCATTTCCTGCACTCGACTGTCAAATGAAAATATGCAGTTTTTAATATTAAATTTATATTTTGTTAATCATTTACAAGGATAATGATTAATTTGTTGTTTTGAATTATTATTGATTCAATAATAGATTGTATTGTTAGCAGTTCGTTTTATGGAATATGCTAATTTATTACTTATTCATTCTTAAATGATTTAAATTTCCCAAAACTAAGTTTTATAAATATGCAGTTATATGATTTATAATTAGAAAACACAAATTAACACTACATAAGAGCATGTGACTGTAAAATGAATACTTAAAAACAAAAAATTTAATATGAACAATTTATGATTTTTCTCCACAACACTGTTGTTGATGTAACATCAAAAACCTAGACATAATACTATAAGACAAAACTGGAACAAATAATAATGCATCATGTAATATTAATATAAATAAAATCTTATTTACATGACAAAAAGCTCAATATGAATTTTTTAATTATATTAATTACCATATTTGCCTGCAAAAGTTATTAAATCACCTTGTTAATCTTTACTATCACAGGAAATATGAAAAAAAATAATCTATTTGATAAAAATCATGAAGAAATAATCATATAATATTGTAATATTAAATAACCTGACTAATATAAAAAATTGGGTGACTGCAAATATTTTATCTGTCTGGTAGATGTAAACTGTGACTAGATTATTTATATTTCAGATGTTGCTGGGAAAACTGGGATCTCTGATCCACAAAACATGGAACAGTACAGCATATAAAAGCACTGAATTTATCAGAATAACTTATGCATTTGATGCTTTAAGACAATAAGCAATTAAAAAAAGGGGAGGACAAAACAGACATTTTTTATTGTACGAGTTTAATAAGAAAATAATTTTGCACCCACAATTTTTTTCAATACTTGTTAAGTATATGAGAAAAATGCAGATGACGGATGATAAATCAACCATTAGTAATTTTTCTGGATCAAGACATAATAAGTGAACCATGTCCAATTATTCATAAATGAGTAAAAATCAAACTAGAAGAGAAACAAACAATGTAAAATTTAAATATAGTAAAAAGCAAACTAAATATGGTGCAGATTTTGAAGGAAGCAGACACAGGCCTCTTTCTATGGGAGGGGAAAAAAAAAAAAAAAGTTGACAAATACTGAGCTTGAGAAATGACAACCATTTTATATTGAAAGTAATGGGTGGAGCAAAGCAAATATAAACAAAGCAAAAGATCAAGAGCGAAAAGATAAATGTAAGAACTTGAGTTTATCATAAAACTTGATCAATAGTTCTACACCAGCTTTCTGAGGAATAACAAGAGAGCCAGTCCTCATTTCTTTGCTTTGAAGTTACAGAAGTGAACCATGTTTGGAACAACTGAAACAAGATAAGATAAAAGAAACTGAAGGGTTAAGTACGAAGTTTTTGTATAGCTTGCACCATTAAACTGGGAAGGTAGTCTATAACCCTAAAAGATTTTGTTAAGTGTACGTAAGATGTCAAGAGTCAATCAGGTATGAGCACATATGTCAAAAGAATAATCTATTGTGAGGTGTGCACACCTAATTAAACAGTAAATGCTGACTTGTTCACATTTAAAAAAAAAAAAAAAAAAAAAAAAAAAAAAAAAAAAAAAAAAAAAAAACAGTCTATAGTGGATAAGCCTTATACAGATTCATAAGCAACATTTAATGGTTTTGACTCTTCATCTGTCCAATTTCTTAGGTCATGCTGTAAAGATGTCCATTGGTTATACATATTTTTTATCAGCTTCTAGGTAAAACTAAGTTTTTAACTTTTGAAACATCTTGCTTCTACAACTTTTCTGTAACTACAGGCATAACTTTTTTTTTTTTTTGTTCTATCAGTATTTGTACAAAGTAATATTGTACAAGTGGACAGACTGAAAGAGGAATTCACATCTAAAAGCCCACACTTATCAAAGGTGTTGTCTTACATCACAATAATGCCAAACCTCATCTTGCTTAGCAAAATTTATCAGATATAACTGGGAAATGTTTTTCCTACCTGCTGTACTTCCCTAATCTTTCAGATATGGATAACCATATTTGTTTAATGGTAAAAGAATTTTACTCTCACTGTCTTCGATGCTATGCAAAAAGTGAAAATAGCATTATCAGATATTTTTTAATCTAAAACAGGAAAGTTTTATCAGCATGGGATAAATCAACTGAATGTCAGAAATCATATGTAATGATAAATTTATATGAAATCATAAACAACTTACTTTCTGTGCTCTTCATCTATTTTTAACTAAAAAACAGGTAGAAGTTGAACACACACCTATCATTAACAGCATAAAAATTACACTTCCACACTATTATGATAACTTTACAGTAATGACAGAAAAAGGATGTTTACTTTAGTAAAATAGTAAAGTTACTGGTAAATTTACATCATAATATCACTGTTTCAAAATGATATTCCTTCAGTTATTTAATGACTATGAATTACGATAATTTACGACTAAGATTATGTTACTTTATAATTCATACAAAAGAGTCTAGATCTACATTAAAGTAAACAGAAATTCTAAATAAAGACTAGGAAACTCTTACAAGAAATTATACTGAGAAATTCAGTATGTTAAAAATTATCTTTGCTGCAGCATTCTAGAGATCATTTTAAAACCAACTACCAATTACTTGCCACCCAACCGTTATAGAGGTTAGCGTCATTGACTGCCGTGTCGAAGGGCCTGGGTTTGAATCCCGAAGAAGGCACGGATGTTTGTAAATGTATAGTGCCGGTGCGGCACGGTGGTACTCTAAATATGTGGCGAGCCAAAAATCCTCTTGGACCAGTCACCCCAGAATGCTCTCCATCAAAATTGGGAGTGGAACTGAGCCAAATCACACTGTCACCTGTTAGGTGCTCAAGGCTGTTGCCAACGACAGGCATAATCTTGTGCTCCTTGCCATGAGGAATTTCGTGGGCTTGGGTTGACTACGTCAGATGAGTGAGCAACAATAACAACCAATTATTTTAATGGATAAGATCATGTTCAAATAAATTTCTTTTAAAATACCTGGGACCATTTAATATTCCACAAAACTTCAATAATTGCTTTCAATAGTTGATCATTATACAGGGTATTTCAAAAGAATTGCCAAATTTCAAATATGTATATTACAAAAAATACTGAACTTACAAATTTAAGATTAATTTTGTATTATGTGGTTATTTTTTACAAACCAAATTAAATGTACTCAATATGTCCACATTTGGATCCATAACATATGTCTTTATGGTAATCAAATCCATCGCAAACTTTTGCTAGCTTATCTGCACCCACTACTTCTATGGCTGTTGTAATACCCATCCCAAAATAGGTACTACAACAGCCATGGGTTATAATACCTATTCATTACAAATTTTGTTATATTAACCATTACAAGTTTGGTTAATATAGCTGGAACTGGAGACATATAAGAAGAGTCTTTTATAAACACAAGAAGAAATCACATACTGAGAGGTACGGGAATCTTGGAGGCTAGTGATGTTTAACTGAATCATCAGGTCCTGAATGACCGATCCATCGTTGAGGAATGCGACTGTTATCAAATGTTTTAATATCAAGCTCTGGTGTGGTAGTGCTTTGTCCTGCTGGAAAACGAACTCATTTGAATTAACTGTGGTAATTCTAACTGTGGGAAAAAGACAGTTATTGAGACATATGATTTCTGTAACAGTGGCCTCTATTAAAAGAGGACCATACATCTTTTGTTGAAAAACAGCGCAAAAAACGTTAACTTTTGGTAAGTATCTCCCATGCTGTGCAATTTGATATGGTTGCTCCATACCCATATTTCAACACTATGGTGGATACCTTACCACGAAAAGTAGCTTCATCATTAAACACAAACTATTATAAAAAATTCTCATCTTGTTACACATTCTGAAGGATGAATTCACAAAACTCTACATACCGTTCTTCATCACCTGTATGAAGGGCTTGCAGCAAATGAATCCTATTCAGTTTGAAAAACAAATGTTGCTGCAAAACATGTCAGACAGATGTCAAGTTCCCTCCCGGCATGGCAAGTGGATTACTGTGGACTATGCGTAAAATTCTGTTGGATGAGCTCCATATTTGTGTGCCATACGGGGATGACCAGGCAATTTTCTTTTACCCAGGCAACCCATGTCTTGAAATTGTTCATAGAGTAGGTTGTTGAACACTAGGGTATTGTCAACAAATATCACGCTGAACAGTTCTTGCGGAAGCATAGAACACAAAACATTTCCTGTTGCACAGTCCTCATCTGACTGAAACTGAAGTGATGGGCGAAGGAACTGCATTAGTGCTACCTCTCACCAACTGCATGAAACTTGAGATTTCACTCTTTCTATCTATTCATTATTTGATCAAAATGGAGTAAGAGTTGAAAGTTGTGATTTTTTTAAATCGGATGATTATTTTTTTAAACCCACGTTTCAGGGTATTTCAAAATTTTACTTAATTGAATAAAAGTTTAGGTAACTATTTTAAAAATTAAATTAATGGGAAATTATTGTTACAAAATGTACAGGCGTGGTGAGATAGCTTCCCCGCAAAGCAGTTTTAGGGTTGCCATAAAATGGGAAGGGAAGGTTGGGTTGCCACATTTGGCGAGGAACCGCCCATTTTGTGACAAAATTGGCGATATGCCATGGACGGATGGAGAACCTTCTGGAACAAATTCTTACTGGTTTAGCTCAGAATGTTCTCGAACACCAGTCAAAAGCTATATAAACCCTGCTAGTCCGCAGTCAGTGCGCACCTCGTCTGTAGAGCTGATAGTCAGTTAGTATCGAGTTGGTGTCTTGTCTAGCGAATCAATCCCTGCAGAGTCGATCCAGTTGACAGCCGGGCAGTGAGTGCCGAGTGGGTTGTTGAGTGCACCGAAGGCCGTAGTGTATCGTGGTTTTGCAATGGCGAGAGAGCGTGTTAAACTCCGGGAACGACTGAACCGAAGAGTCGGAAGCTGTGCTCTGTGAGTCATTGAGTGCATCACGAGTTGTAGCGTGGAGAGGTCTCGAGAGTACGTGGAGTTCCGAGAATGACCGAGCAGAGTCGGGAGTTGTACTCTGATGCTTTGCATTGAAGCTGTCTCCACCATTATTGCATGAAAGTGTGAAGGCTGTGTCGCTGATTGTTCCAGCGTGTTTATGGTAGTTCATCGACGACTGTAACAATGTGTTTTGGAGCTGTCCTGACAATACTGGCAAATAAAGTGTGTTTCGATACTTCATCATCATTATTCACTCCAAATCCTCACGAACCCCGTACGAACATGAAGGAAGAAAATAATGTAACAACTAGTGTCAGAAGAAAAAAGCAACATTATTATTGAAAGAATAGTACAGTGAGTTTTGTTGATGGGAAAACAACAGTTGCAGATTATTAAAATGTTTCATTCCAAACATATGTGCAAGTATGGATGATAATACAATGACAGCAGTTGTTAGCTTGGGGGGGGTAATCATTTTTTAAGTTTTAGACTTCTCTTAGACATCTCAAGGCAAGTTAAGAAAAGTGTCTTACACAGAGATACAGGAAAACAACAGATAGTACTCATCAGGTGCTGCTCTGAATTTTGAAGTCATCTATTAAAAAGGGGGGAAGAGGAAAATGAGGAAGATTTCACCATTTGTGATTTTTATTATATAATTAAAAGAATTTAAATTAATATTCTTAATACACTGCTTTTAGGCAAAAAATATTATTCACATAATTTATTTCCATTTTTCAAAATCTCAGTCATAATGGTACAATAGTAAAAAAAAATATTGACAGTGTACTTTATTACTTGGTAAAACATAAAATATAAATAACTTCCATCTAACTAAATTCTGTAATAATCTCAGGAAATCTGTTGATAAATTAAGTTGTAATTTTGTTTAATTAAGCAATATCATTTAACTCCAGCTTGATAACATTTTAACTCATCAGTGACAATTTTTATTTTGTTTCTGCACAGCACAGAAAATTTGCATGAAAAAGATAATCAAGCTGACAGTAGGTTGACTGAAAAATTTTAGCATACGTATATTTTTACACAAATCAAAATAGAGCCTTTTTACATTTTCAACAGTTAAACTAAAATTTAAAACCAAATTACATAATTTGGTCAGCTCAAAATTTCTTTGCCTAAATCACTCACTTTCCCATTTAAACACAAACTAATAAAAAATGTAAATTTCCAAAAATTAAACAACAAACCTGAGAGCAATGAGAAATATTCGGAAAATCCTTTAGAAATAACAGCTCTTTCTTATCTGTACTTATTAGTCTTATATCAGTAGGACTGATGAGAAACAACATAGTTCTGTTGTTATCATGGTTTTGGTCCCCTGTCAAAGAATGCGAAGAATCTTCTTGGATGAAAGGAAAACCAAGGGAACATTCCAAGAACGTTTTTGCATTCATTGGAGGTAGAGATGTCTGGCGGTGAAGACTGCCATCTTCAATTATGGAAGAAAACTGTTCTGCATTAAAAGCAAGGGTCTGAATATCTTGAACTAAAGCATCTCGACTCGAAGTGTCCAAACTTTGTGAATGAGTTATTAAGGAAGCCGAAGCTGGAGGTGCAAGAGAATGATGTGTGTTGTGGTTATCACGTGCAGCAGAACCTTCACTGCAAAGTCTCTGACGAATGCTGGACTTTGTGGAAACATCTGACTCAGAAACCTAGAAAGTTTAAAAAAAAAAAAAAAAAAAAAAAAAAAAAAAAGAATATACAGATGAAAACTATTATAATATCAAGATATTTTTTTAAAAAGTTAGGGAGGGAAAAAGAAACAAAAATCTAAAGGATGGACTACAGGATCTACTGGCATTTACAGCTTTTTTCTTGTTCACTTTATTCTTCTTCTTCACATTTATTTGTTCACTTTTTATTAGTCAATTATTTTATTGTTTTACAGCTTATGTTATTGTTGGTTTAGAAAGTTATAGTTACTAAATTGAATAAGAGTTTAGGCAACTATTTTAAAAATTAAATTAATGGAAAATTATTATTGAAATAATAGCGCGAGATCTGTTGATGGTAAAGCAACAGCTGCAGATTATTAAAATGTTTCATTCTAAATATATGTGCAAGCATGGAGAATACAATGACAGCAGTTGTTAGCTTCGGAGGGGGGGGACTGTTCTACAGAGAAAAAAGCAATCATGGAATGAAATCAGCTGTGATAATATTTATTTATGAATTTAAAATGATCAATTCTGCATCAACTGAAGTAAAAATTTTAATAAAGTACTCAATAGAGAACTGCACCTAAGCACATCATTCAGTATTGATTTGCAAGGTTATAGTAGAAGATATTTAAAATGAATTAAAAATATCTGATTGATACAAATTCATGGCAAATACAAGGTGCACCTTTAACTTCCATGACTGATGTAACTGACAAGAACTGTAAATCATCAGAACACAGTAATGCTTATATTCGGAAGGCCATTTATCTGCACATGTTCAATGAAGTCGGAACAATTCCGAAGCAAGTGGTTGTCCTTGAAACACACCTTTAAAACGCAGCTGTTAATTTTTTTTTTTTTTTTTTTTTTTTGCCCAAGTTGATATGGAGCAGAGAATGAACATTAAATTCTGTTTCAAATTGGGCAAACCTCCACAGAAACCCATGAAATGTTGAAAAAAATGTATGGAGATGAAGCATGATTCCATTCATGCACTTCTGAATGGTTTAGCCAAAACGGCTGCGAAAGTGTTGATGATGATGCGCACACTGGACAACTGCTTTCTATGCACACACCAGAAACAACTGAGAAAGTTTGTCAGGCTTGTGACTTCAGATCACCAATTAAGTATCTGATTACTTGCCAATGAACTGAATACTTCCCAAGGAGGTGATTCGGCAAATTTTGGAACAAAACCTAGGGAAATGCAAGGCTTGTTCTAGATTTGTGGCTGTTTATTGGAAGAAAAAAATCAATTCAGAATCAACTAACATGGTGAACTCTTCGACAATACTGATGCTCGCCCTGCATTCCTTGATTTGATAGTGAAGCGAGATGAGTTTTGGTGTTAATAATATGATCCTGAAAGCAAATGACACAGCTACGAATGGTGGTCTCCAACTAGCAAGACCAAAAAGTTTCCAGTTTCAAAAGTTCAAAATCAAGATAATGTTAATCAGTTCCTTCAATATCAAAGGACTGATTCATCATGAATTTGTTCCCCCTGACAAGATTGTCACTGGACATGTTTACGCAGAAGTTCTTGGCCGACTTCAACAAACAGTTTTCAGAGTAAGGCCTTGTATTCCACAGAATAGGAGTTGGCTACTTTTGCATGATAACACCCGGCCTTATACTGCATTCCCTGTGAAGTGGTTTTTGGCCCAGCTTGAGGTTGTGGATACGCAGCATCTTCCATACTCTCCTAACTTAACACGGGCAGACTTTTTCATTGAAAAATTTGTTTAACAGAAAAAGAATTAAGAACATCAAAGCCATCCAGAAAAAGTGACATTCACTTACAGCATTTTGAAAGAGGACTAAAATTTGTTTCCCAAATCTCTACAGCTGATCACGGGAAGTGCATTATGTCAGGTGAGAGTTTCTTTGAAACATATAAATGGGTATGTATTTTATATAATATATTCTGGAGTCAGTCCTGATTCTGATCAGTCCTGAAAATTAAGGGCCACACTTTGTAGTATGAGAAATAGCCCATAGGCTAAAAGCATACTATTTAGCTCTTTCTTGTCAATTAATCGTTAGCAAGACAAGTAAGCTAAACTTAATTGAAATCATTAGCAAGGCAAGAGAGCTGGATATGTGGATTCCCACAACTCAATTAATGAAAAGAAAAAAAAAGACTCCAGAAAATCAGAGAAAGTAACTTTTTCCCTTAACGAAAGCAAATATTAAAGAATATTCTAAAGCCACCTTTATGCCCAAAGAACTCAGTCTTATGAATTTGCTGCATATTTACCTTCTCTAATTATTTACGGATGATTTGAGGCCTAAGAAGTAGCAGAAATAATAAGAAGAACAGGTCACATTCAAATAACAAGGAAGTAGAAATGAAAATATCTTATTAGATATTGTAATGACAATATTACCATGTATTTTCTAGAATGTAAGTTTCTTTTAAGAAAATAATATTGTGATAGTTATCCGTACTTTATCCATGACTACTTTTCATTTATTATGTTCTTATTATAACCAATTGGAAATTAAATTATTGAAAACAAAATAAAAACATTTAATCAATAAAAATACATATTTTAGAAGCAAAAGCTGAGTACAGTTGCATAAACAATTTGCTTGCAGTACGGTAGTCCCTTGTCAGTGTCTCTCACTATTTATTTCTCTAAAAAAATCAAATCATGATAGCAAATTAGTAATGCAGTACATAGCAAATGCAGTCAAATAAATATTTCTTGGGTAATTAATTTTTCCTTCATCTTTTTTAATCGCTGAAATTTTGATTAGGACTGTAATATTTTGAGAATCTTGTAATATTTTCTGTTATAGATATGCTTACCAATGGTTCATCTATCAATCAGGATGTTAAAAATTTCATCACCTTAAAAGACATTATTTTTTTAAGTGTAGCATAAACTATCCCATTATCTTTTAGGAAAAATGAATCACTGTTGTAAGAGTGTACTTAAATTACACAATTTTTTTTCTCTTTATGTTTTCTTGATTGCTTTTGCAAGCACACATATATTCAGCCATTTCCTATACAACAACCTAGCAGAACATTTTTACAGAAAATAACTCAAAAGATTTAAAAAAATTAATGCTGAATGATTTAAAGCAGTTTGTCAGTAACAATAATAATAAATATAAATCAAATATAATGCTTTTCTGTTTTGAAAAAGCATTATTTTTATAAATACTGTTAAAAAGTTTTAATTGGACACCAATAAGACAATGTTCCAGAGTAGACAGCCAATTTCTACGTATTCGAAGACTAATGTTGGGCTTGGGCCATGGCAACACAATATCTTATGTGCAAAAAATACAGCATTTATATATTTTATTATAGTGCAGTCTGAAAATTTCAGAATAACCTAAATTACTGAATTCCTTTGCATATTTTTCTCTCTAGCTTTTAAGTGCCAGGTTCTGAAAATTAAAAAATATATGTACAATTTTCACTTTCCTCAGTGCATCCAGAGAATGAGCTCCACTAAATTTAAAATGGATTCGCTCCCATATTAATTGTTTTTTGTCAAACCTCGCAAGCTACCTTGTGAAGGTCAAACGAGCTACTTGTTGAACTTGAAGCCATCTTAATACATGGAGCCACCAACTTTCAAACACAAACCGACATTCAGTCTTATGAATTTGCTGCATATTTACCTAATTATTTATGGATGATTTGAGGCCTAAGAAGTAGCAGAAATAATAAGAAGAACAGATCACATTCAAATAACAAGGAAGTAGAAATGAAAATATCTTATTAGATATTGTAATGACAATATTACCATGTATTTTTTCTAGAATGTAAGTTTCTTTTAAGAAAATAAATATTGTGATAGTTATCCGTACTTTATCCATGACTACTTTTCATTTATTATGTTCTTATTGTAACCTTTTGGAAATTAAATTATTTGCATAATCTTCCCCTTTTGATTTTTAGATGGTAAAATTATTAAAATAAGGGGAGGGAATATGAGAGAAAATAATGGCATTATGCATGGTCTTCCAATTAAAAAAAAATATTCTCTTCTCATAAAGTATTTGAAGAATTTAGACTTCCATGCTTGAGTTCTTCTTGATTCTTAGATAACCTTGGCAAGAGCCAACTCATTCATACAAAATAAGAACCTGCCATCTAATATATCCCAGTTCTACCATCTGCAGTGTAATCACTATAAGTGTATGTAGTGATGTACACTTATCTATGTAGATATAGATTATTATCTGTGTAGATAATGATCTTGCTTTTTGATTTTAATATATAGTAGTGTACATCTATGCAGTGTATCAGTGTACATCTATGCAGTGTATCAGTGTACATCTGTGCAGTGATCTATGCAGTGTAAGCACTAAAAATTTTTTTGAAACAGAGCAACTTTTGATAAAAGTAATTTTGGGGAAGGGGGACATTTATTTGTCTAAAAGAATTCCAAAATTTTTACTAAAATATACATAACATTGACTGAAATAAAAAATACAATTTAATGATAGGAAAAGTATTTTATAAGCACTCGCATATTATATTTTGACATATATTTCTTTTACACATTCAGAAATTACCTGGCTTGCAAGTGGATGAGGTATATCATTACATTTTATATCAAATGATAACAAAGGAGGGTCTTCTTTTGCTATGTTTTCTTTAGAAAATTTCTTATCTAAATCTTTTGTAATTGCACTAATTTCTGACTCTGTGCTATCTTTATCAGAAGATAACTTTTGAACTGCATCATCTACAAATCTTTGTGGCCCTCGCTTTTGGGATACCTAATGTTAAAAATACAAATAAAGCAAATTTAATAAATAATGAAAAAAAAAAAAACATTTAATCAATAAAAATACATATTTTAGAAGCAAAAGCTGAGTACAGTTGCATAAACAATTTTTTCTTTTCTTATTTAATTTACATGGAAGTAAGTGCTTAATTTGTTACTTTGGAAAAAACCTAAAAACTGAAATCTTACATCTCAGAGATGTGTTCAGAAATAATAATAATAGTAGTAATAATAATAAAGTGAAACATCACAAAAATTTAAAAAATATGTTTCTGAACCATTTACGCAATATAAAGTAATAAAAATATCTTTCATTAATTGCAATAAAACTGCACATATTCATAAAAATCATCCATTGGATATATCATAAATTAAATGCATTTTAATATATATCAATCAGATGTATTATTAAAGTAAGATTGTAGAGTAAAAAAATAAAATAATGATTTAAATAATTAAGAAGTGCATTTATTGCTTCTAAATTTCTCAGTTTGTTAATCAATAACTCATTAAATTTGAAAGAAAAATTAATGCTTCAAAATTTTCTTTATAGTTTTCATCTTGTAGTAATTTCCAGGACATGATATTATACATTATGTGAAAAAGATAGTTTCCTTTGAGGTATAGTATGATATCAACAAAGACACACTACAGAGAGTAAAGTATGACAATATTCATTAAAGAACAATACAAGTGTCAAATGTATGTAATATGCAACATCAAGTGACAAACTGCATAAAACAAATTCAGCTATTCTGTAATGAGATGTCCTATTCTATATATGTCTTGCTATTGCATACTGTATATTATTTTTCTATCATATTTAAGTTCTACATAAGGTATGATAAAATCATTAATAATGCAAGCAACGCAGTAAATTTTAATATAAAGTATGAAGACTGAAATTCAGGCATCCAATATTCTGAATGATTTCGACACCGGAGCACAAGCAAATTAAAAAAAAAAATCCCCCCCCCCTCAAAAAGGGAGAGAAAATCAGACTCCGAGAATAACGTCTAACTTTAGCATATGCTTAACGTTTCACACACATACCATAGACATTTTTTTCTTAATAAGGCATGTGGAAGCTCCTGATTCTCAATTTCACTTTGGTACTACATAAAACATTTATGTGCTGAAGAAACAGAACCATTTATTAGCAAAAGTCTATATGATCAACAGTTTGCCTCCATAGCTGCTTTAACGTACATCTCGAACAAAAACATTCTACTAGATTTTATCTCCGATTTTGTGTTTACCCAGCACTGGTGCAAGAGCCAGTGTGACCACACTCAGTGGGAGGATTGCACTGAGTGCAAAAAATCTAGCACTTACACAGCAATGTCGAAAATGATCTTTGCTTTAACCCTCTATGCACCTTGGTTTTTTAGATCAGTCATGAAGACCTGTATTTAAACAGCATTTATTAGCTAAATTTGTTTATTTACTTATTTTAGTTTCTATTTTCATAAGCTTACATTCATTAAGATGATATTCACATTAATACTGAAAGTAAAAAAGCAAAACATCTTAAATTATAAGCTTATATATATCAAGTGACAAAATCTCATGACTGGATAAAGCTGGTCAGAGGGTTAAATTATAAATAGCTGAATATCAAAGAGCATGCAAACCTTTTATGTTGACATTGATAAATGATATTTATAGGTGGACATATTACATTTAGTGCTGTTTGAATTAAAAATAACTGATTTGTAATTCATATAAGCCTTAAGCATATTTGGGAATTTATTTATTCGAAGTAAGATAAGCCTTAAACATATACAAGGAATAGATGTGTACACATAATGAATAATTAAACTAATACAATTTGGGCTTAACTTCCGCAGTATGCATGCTATCATGTGATAGAGTTACGACTAAATTTAGCAGAATAAGATGTCTTTGATCTCCAGTCTCATGATACATCACCAACGCCATATAGCAGACAGTAGCTCAGAAGAAACTATGTCTATCTACAAAATTAAACAGAAAGTCTTAGAACAAAAAATATACAACTAAACAACTTACACTAAAAGAAATGTTTAATAAAGCAGGCAAATAAATATGCAGCTTTCTGTACATTTTCTTTCCCATAAAATGCTTCATTATTTCATAAATAACTATTTTACTTTTCATAAACAACTATTCAAAATATTTCATATTTTGAATTTTATAATTTCTACATCCTCTTTCTGGATGTTAACTGATGATCTAAAATCCAGAAAATAAGAATGAATCCAGATCTTGGACTCTGTATTGTACTAGCTGTTAAAATACTATAAAAATGCTAATTATAAGAATGAGTTCAGTGATTAATAATAATAGAAATGAAGTGGACTTAATGCTTTGGAATTGTTTAGCTTGTTAATCAATAACAGACAGATTAAATTTGAAAACTAAATATCTTATGCTTTACCGAATACAGCAATACACTGACATGCAAAAGAAAAAGCTATTTTATTTTGCTAAGTGGCAAAATATACTTTTCATTTTACTAAAATTGTTGATTGAATTTGAAAGACAAATATGTTACACTTTTCCAAGTTGCAATACATTTCTTTTAAATTGCTAAGTTTGTTGATTAAACTTGAAAACAAATACCTTAGGCTTTGCCAAGTGACAAGACTTTTTTTTTTTTTTTTTTTTTTTATTTGCTGAGTTTCCTGATTAAATTTAAAACATAAATATTTTATGCTTTGCCAAGGGGTAACACAGTGCATTTACATTGCTGAGTTTTCTGATTAAATTTGAAACATAAATATCTTTATCGAGTGGAAACACACTGCTTTTAAATTGCTGCATTTATCAATCAAAATGTAATTAAATATGTCCAAAACATGAAATAAATAGAACAGCAAATTCAAAATTTGGGCTCTGAAGTGTAGATGTTCAAATGGCAGACTATGAAAAAATTTTGAAAAAAAAAATTGGGGGCTTCAGGTGATACAGATTCTTCATTATTTAATGAGAGAGATTTGAGGAATAGATTCAACGTCAAGAAAGTAAAGCGCCATCTACACCAAGGATATGATCTCCAAAGAAGTCTCCTTCGCAGACATATCTCGCAACAGCATTTTACCTACACAGGAAGATTTTGTATCTAAGCTTCTCCGAGCTACTAAGCCAATCAGAGTACTCAAAGCAGATAATATGACTTATATCCAATAACAGACCTCCATCGACCACACATTTCAATTACTCTCTACGAGATAATTAGATAATAATTTGGCAATGCAGATAAGTGTTTCAATAGTGTAATGAACTGTAGGATTACACATTACCTTAATTTTACCAACATAGAGAACTTCATACTGTTGACACTGTTTACTCTGGATAGCATCAAAAGGAGAATCTTCTTTCAGCTTTAACCCTAAAGATGACTCTTGAATAGCCTCCTTAAGAACAGTAAAAAACTGGAAAACCTAAGTGAGGATGAAGAACAAAGTTTAATTTTTTTATTGAACGTAATTTTTTTAATTACAGTTTTAAACATTTTAAACACACAAATAACTAAAAATATTTCATTCATCATCAATAATATATATTTTCTTTAGTTACTTCTTCATTAAAGTGAGCATTCTAGCTAGTAATCAAAATTAGCATATATAATTGCTATGTTTAAATCTCAGACTGAATTTTCAAAAGCCTAGATGGTCACTATTCTAATAAGGAAGTACTATTTCTTACATTACACTATTAAAATTGAAGATGTACAAATAAAATCAAGGTGCATTCAATGAATTTTCCAAATGGTTGTAAAACTGAAGTTTGTAAATAATAATGACACTAGATATGCATTTGATATTAAGTTTAATTTATTAGAGATTCCACAAATAATATACATATCATATCACTTATATTTGCTTGCTAGTTCACTAAAATTTCACAGTGAATTTCACTAATCATATATTTTTTCAGTCTTGGTCAAAATATGAGAAGCTACTAATTTTAATACTTTTTCCCCTCCTCATCATTTACAGAAAAGCACTGTCTGTTCTTTTCATTTGATGCAGTTAGGAAATCAAAATGTGCAATCTTTTCATTTGATGCAGTTAGGAAATCAAATTAAAAAAATTATAATAAAAAAAAAAAAAAAAAAAAAAAAAAAAAAAAAAAAAAACATCAGACATTTTAGAACAAGTATGTCCAAACTGTGGCACCCAAAGGCCACTTATGTCAGTTATTGGAATATAATTGAAATTAATGAACGTATAAGATAAGAACTGTAACACAAAATTAAAATTTTATGATTTTAGGAGATACTGACAGCTCACTTTTATGAACTGAATATGCGTTTAAGTTAAAAAAAAAAAAAAAAAATAAATAAAATAAAAATAATTATGCTTAAGAAAACGTCAGCATTAAAAATTAAATTTCAATTGAGGTAATCCGATATCAACAGCAGCAACTTAATTCGCCATGCAGCTCTGTCTGGTCAGAGTCAGGTAAGCAGTGAAAGATACATTTTATCAGAAGACTTTAGAATTGATTTCAGTTTGTTTGTCTAATTGAATAGAGAAAATCAAGATGGGCACATTTTGGCTACCGGTAAATGGAAGAGGTATCTTCTTAGAACCATATCTACGAAAAACTAACTTGAATTTACACTACAGATGCAGAAAATCAACCAAACACCCATTCAACCATCCACGTTCACCAGGAGTTGAGCCCTGGTTAAATTACTCAGTGTTCAGCATGATTAACTCCTCAGCATTTTATTCCAAACATTTCAGAAAACTGCACCTGTTTTTCAGTGTCTTTGTTATTCCATTTGCAGTTGACCTCAAACTTCCTAGTAAAGTGTGAATGGAATGTAGAGAGCTGGAATCAGATATACAACATGTAGAAGGCTTAAAAGTGAACTGTTTATATTAAGCTGTACTAAAGCGTCCCCTCAAACTAATTTCCCGAACGTTCCACTCTAGGACAAATCCGACACTTCTTTTAAGTGTATGACTTAAAGCTTTAGTAACTTTAGTAACTCCTGCTTTAGTAATGAGACATGCTGTCTCAAGTACATTATACAAATGACACAGCCATTAACAACAAAACAAAATGGCTTAATCATGTTGTCACCAAACTCATAGATAAAATCCTAACAATTAAGGAATGGTGCAGATATTGGGAAGTATTCCCTAATGTGGAAAAATCTCACTTGCTACTAAATAATAATAATAATAATAATAAAAGCAGAGAGAAAAGCAAAATCACAAAATTTCTCTCTAAGGGAGAATTGTTCTTCGAGTCAAGAATGCTAGCAATCTGAATTAAAAAAAAAAAAAAAAAAATATTTAGAAGGTTCATATCAGTGCAGTCTAGGATTATCATCAAGATCAAACCATTATTGGTTGGCAGATTTAGCTTGCAAAGCCACATCTTCATGGCCACAATCAGGCCAATCATTAGGTATGCATCTCCAGCATGAGCTTTAGTTACTCATAAGGAGTTATATCTGCTATAAGTACTACAGAATAAGCTGCTAAGAACTTTATGGACACTCCATATTTTATTAAAAATAAGACTCTTCACTGAAACCTCATACTGGAGTCACTTAAGAAACACATACAAATAATAAATGAACAAATCCCCTTTGATAAAGCAATAACTTGGGACATAATCAAGTTCAGGCTAAATCTGGATTACAAGGTAATCCTTAATTCCCTTATGTTAAACGGCTCGACTTGAGATGTTCTCACAATCATGACCTAAATGGACATATTTTAGTTACACTAGAAAGTACTTCTTAGTTGACTCAAGTATAACATAATAGTGTTAAGGTGTCAAGTAGATTTACCTTAAGAAAATTTTCTGTCCTTCACGAACATTTCGTATTTATGATGCCTCTTTTTGAACCCATATGTACTTTTTTTTTCACATGAGAAAACATAAAATGAAGGCTTTCAAATGAATATTTTGATTATACTCATTATGACAGCTAATATATCTATCACACTAATATCAAAAGTAGACTGATATAGGGATAGATATTGATGCTTTAGTATTCAAAATGTTCACAGTCAATACTTTTATGCTCAAATCATTTTAATCTTTGGGTTAAAATATAAATACAATTTTATCAGATACAGTAAAAGCTTAACTATTCAGAAAACTCGGAAAATGTCGAATTCTCGATATGTGAAAATTCCAGGAAGTTGAACATATAAAGAATGGAAAAAATATCTACTCTACTATTATAAAAACAATCATCTTATTTGTTACCAACTTGAATATCAAAAACTGACATTTAAAATTATATAAGGATGGGGGAAGAGGGGGGGGAACTTATTTGTCATATAAGGCAACATATTTCATAGATATTAAATTTGAAAGTAAAAGATCTGATTCCATTAAATTCTGCCAAATATAAAAGTTGGCAGAGATGTCATCAATCACTCCAGCAGAAGTTTGAATGAACAGATCATTCTTTATTTCTTCTTTATCCTTAAATTCTGCCAAATATAAAAGTTGGCAGAGATGTCATCAATCACTCCAGCAGAAGTTTGAATGAACAGATCATTCTTTATTTAGTTAGATAATTAAGAGATACAAATTATGGATACCACATATAAAAATTTAAATTGCTTATCATAATTTTTCTTGTTACATCACCATTGTTTATCTATTTTCAATGCCACATATTATGGCTCTTTTTTTTTTTTAAGCCCAGATCCTGTAAATTTAAGAATATTCCATTTCATGTAATTCCAAATGTTCATAAACTAGTTCTCATTTAATTTAGTTTCAAAGAGATTTTTTTTACTATTCATTTCGAAAATTTCTACAAGTTACATGTAGTTATGAACATTTCTATGCAATTATTTATCTAAAAAAAATCACATGCCTCAATAGTTTGATTATCTTTATGAAAATGGAATAGATTACAATATTTAATACATAATGAAATATCAAATTTTCCTATTCGAATTGTTTCATTTATGAAGTTATCTCAGAAAAATATTTTAATACTTTTGATATTAAAAAAAACTAAATGTTAAACAGTTATTGCATTGCTAATATTTTAAAAGAAATTAGCATACCTAAAGAAACAAATGGAATATCATTACTTAAAATTAAAAAAATCCCTTTTTTCAGAGCTTAATTTTAAAATATTCTGTTTACTGTGCAAACTTGAAACTAATAAGCATAATAATCTATGCAAGAAACTACATCTGGCAAAAGTGCTTTTTTTTCTTTCAGCACACTATTCTTTTCGAAGCTCAGGTGTCTAATTATTATGTCTAGCTTTATTCCAATAATTTAATAATAAGCATTATATCTAAGTTAAAAAAATATATTTTGAAAAAGAATCAAAATCATATATACGGCTAGCTCATCGCTTGCTTGAAATGCATGACAAAGTGAAACGTCTGAACCTTCTCTTGTTAGGTAAGCAAAACATCTGGGTGAATCAGCTAACTGATTAAACTTGGTCACAGAACCAAGTTTATGCTCAAAAACTAACCGGCCAAATTTAACATTCACAGCTTTTATAGAACATTCTGTCACGGAGAGGAATACGGTCTCAGATTTTGGGGAACCAAGCCTTTGAATTTCTGCAATGATCCATGGAAGCATTGGTTGCGTATGCCATCGTTCCACAAGAGCTCGACCGTAATATCGCGCTATGAATGTTCTCTGATACTTGGACGACAGATCAACATCAGAATCTTGAAGCCGACTGTATTCTATTTTAGGCATTTTATCGGTAAGAAAATGTAATTTCTAAACAAACAGTATGTACACTTCGTATATACGACCCTAAAATCTCAAGGTCAACAGGGCATTCAAAACTAAAAATATACACTATTTTAGTACTAAGTTATGCCAGAATATATTGTTATCACCACGTTGACCATCATACTTAAATTACAAAAAAAATCATTTAAATGCTCCTTAATGAACGGAAAAGAATCGCTTTCACGGCAGTTTTCAGAGAAGCAGAAAAAATGTAAACAAAGCAACCCGGCTGATGTTAAAAGTTGAGTTGCAACATAACTGTAGAATCAAGGTTAATGGAAGGAAAAAGTAAACAATAAAAAAGGGGTAGAAGATTAACAAAGTAAGACGCACCCTCGTTATAGACATTCTAAGGAAAATAATTGATATTTATTCTTCGTAAGGGAAAAATTTCAAAAATACCCATGTCATCTGAACATTTATCAGTAACAGATCGAACCCTTAGGCCTTTCTTTAAAGTTCTATCAAAGTTCATGCATCTCTAGTATTTTTCTCGGCTATAATCGCTTCATTCTTAATAATATTTTTTAAATTTCTTTTCAATTATTATATATTAATTATTACTGCAATCATTCAAGTAAGTATACAGTAAGTGTTTACTCGCCATATGTGTTAATTAAATAAAGGAACTTGTGAAGTTTACCTGATAAATACCTGAGTTTCATTCAGTTTACCGTATGAGCTACTAGCAGTATTTAGCATTGCTGCTGTGAGCTCCATGATTTATATTTGTTGACGATATTCAACAGCCGTAGTGTTCCATTTTAGACAGCCTTTCTTTTTGTAGTTTGACAACAGTATGAAAGATTAGAATAATGTTTTGATTTCCTCAAGTGAGTAAGCATATAAAGTTTTTTTTTTTTTTTTTTAAAAGCAAGAAAAATGTAATTGTTTATTTAAAATATTTCTTTTCGAGTGTTATAGAATGTAGTCAAATTCTATTTTAAGGCGAAAACGACTGAATGAGAGGCGATTTTGGATCTTCATGAATGAAGGTTGGTCTGTTTGATGCTCTTCTTGGATTATTCCATGTTCTAATTGTGTTTTCGCTGTTGTGCTTTTCGCGCTTTTTTATTCATCATGACCACCACGCTTCCTGAAATAGACGTTGAATTTTTCACTAAGAAAATTATTCGATGGATGTTGGATAATAATAAAGAACCAGTTCAATTGATGTCAGCACTTGGAAAACTTGGTGATCTTCAAATTGCTTTAAACAATGGTAAACCGGTTGAAGATGAACGACAGCTTGCTTTCGACAAATTCAAAAAGATGTTAAAAAATAAAGGTCTAGACCTCGTTCAGCTGACGGATACAGATAATAAGAAAATGGAAAGTTCTAATTCTTTGGAAAGTAACGCTACTGAAGTTTCTTCTTCCAGAAAAGGAAAGAAGCACAAGAAATCTCATAAGCCTGCAACCTCAGCGGTCACAAATTGCAATGATTCCAAAGATGAAAATAGTTGGGCTACTAAATGCGCTAAAAAGACTGTTTCTCACACTATTTCTGAGTCTAAGACGAGAGATGAATTCTATCTCTTCTCAGAGAAGAAATTCTGCTTCTTCGCCGAATAAATTCGAAGTTTTGAATTCTATTCCAGACACAGAAGATAATATGGATTGCCGTGAAGCTCCACCTCCGATGGATAACCACATTCCGGATTCTCCTTTGGATTCAGATGCTGACTGTAAAAAGAAACGACTGCTACCGACCATTTGGCCTAGAAAAACCGGAGGTTACCTGGAAAGCAGTTAAAGAAATGTTTTTTAGAAAAGGTGTCAAATATTTTACTGGTACTCTCCCCAGAGATAAAATTATCATTACTTTTGATTCTGCTCACTATCGTGATCTTGCACTTGCTGTTTTTATAAAAAAAAAAAAAAAAAAAAAAAAAAAAAAAAAAAAAAACGAAGTACAATTTAGTACTTCGGCTCTAGTGTAGAATTGGGTGCCCCTTTGATTAGCGACAGTTTTTTTTTTTAAATTTTGGCGATGAAACCTCACTTCTGGTTACCATGATAATTATAACTTTGTTTTAACTTCCTGATTTTATTTAAATGAAAATAGATTGATGTGTACATGGACAAATTTAAGGCAGTGCGCAATGCCTAGTTTGTGCAATTCTAGGATGTTTTTTTAAGTGAAAACAGATCGATATGTACATGGACACAGAGTTTGTGCAATTCTTTGACTTCTTATTTTGGTTTTGCGTAGCGGCCATCTTGAAATTGTGCCTTCCTGGCGTCAAAAAAGAATTGCCAAAAAACAAGGGGCACCCAATTGTAAACTTTTACCAGTACTTCTCGCGCAAAAGCCGATACTCCAATCAAAGTGGTGATTAGAGGATTAACTGAAGATTCCAATATTGACGAAATAAAAACTGAACTGTGTGAAGCCGGATATCCTGTTTTGAAGGTTGCCCAATTCACTAAAAAATCTGATGGTGTTGTACGAAGCTACCTTTCTTTGAGCAGGTAAACCTAATCGATTAAATTGCATATAAATAATTTACGAATTTTATCAATTTAGAAGAAGTTATCTATATAAATGCGGTATTCTGTCAACTCTCTAGATAGAAGAAGGTGAATTTTGTTGTCACGAAACGGGTCTTTTATGGTCCCGTGACTATGAGCCTGCCGAATGATTCGTAAAAACAGAAATCGACAAATGGCTAATTGGATAAACCGCTAAAAACCAGCAGCTTGACGTGGATTTCAGTTTAGTGGAATGGGCTGCCTGTATGGATATTTTTGTAAGTTTTTTACATGTGTGTCACGTTAATGCCAGCCCATTTCCCTTAAAAGTCTTACACGCAGACATTCCTTCTTTGTCAGATAGCTGTCGTGATTTTTGCTCTATTTATGTCTATGAAACGACCCAAATATAGATATAATTTTTACAGGGCATTGCTACAATGCGTTGTGATTGATCGCTGGTTTGGAAACTTCAAATCATCTGGCACGTCGATCAAACCCGTTAACACAGCTTTATGCAGTCTGGGGAATAGGGCCCTTTCCTAAGATTTCCGCCTCCCAAATTAAAAAAAAAAAAAAAAAAGGTGCTTAAGGATAAATAAAATTTTTATTTCATACTTCACTAAGTACTTGCATATGACAAAGACAAATTGTATTAAAAGTACTTTATATATGACAAGTATTTACAATGAATTTAATGCATTAAAAATATTTAGGCGTGGTATCGCGGGAGTCTGGCCGTGCCTGATTTTCGCCAGCGTAACGTTTACCGCTGCACCCCCGCTAAGAACGGCTCTGCTAGGGAATGTTATGGAACTGCCACCAGGACCTGACTTTATTTGCTGTTTATGAAGAAGTAAATTTTGAAGCGCTCTTATCATGTTAAGCGACCAGTTTGAAGAATCGCTCACTTGCTAATTTAAGTAATGAGATATAGTGGCATTACTTCGCAGGAAGGATATTAAATCATTGTAGTTCGCGGTGTTAAAATTGTTATTTCTTAAATATCAACTACTGATGTGAATTTAGAAATAAAATAAGCACCGCCTCTTTGATTTCAGGAGTACGTGTTGTTTGTCCCAGATTTATGCAATTTCTTCCGAAGGAATTTTTTTTATTCAATCTCTGACTCAGTTGTGCAAACATCCGATGATTCGGAATATGATTCATTAGGTAGCGGTAATGGTAACGGTACAGGGAGCAGAACGATTTACTCGTTACAGTCAGCGGCTCCACATGCTAAATCAGAGGTTACTATATAAGGTACTTCTTCCGCCTTCTTGGCATGCCTTCGTGGTGTGGTCTGCAATGGTCTGCCTAATATTTGAATTGTTTTCGATTCAGATTCGAATTTAAAGCCCGCGGTGCGTATCCGTATTTCCCAGCGAAGGCGTTGCTATATTTTGCCTGCAAAAAAAAATACCTAATGTCTTCTACAGTGGTGTGCGTACTGAATGGGATTTAGAGCATGCTAAAACCCCAAAATCCTCCTAATGTTATAAGTGTCTTTACGGGTATGGTATAAATCACCTAAGCCTCGGTCATATAAGGTATGATGCCTTCGTGGAAACGCTGCGCGTATTCCAGAGGTCCGCGGTCGATAAAAACAACTTGCTAATTTTCATCTTGCCTGCTTCCAAAATATCTAATGTCTCTACGACTAACAGTGTCGGTACTGACCACCTAGAGCTCGATGGAATTTTAAAGTGATGAGTGATGGGTGATGATGAAGGGGTCGATAGCCGAATATGCATCGGTAACTGATTGGCATAATCAGCATTCCACTAATAACCCCCTCCAAAAAAATAATTTATTGATTAAAGCTGTATCATGTAGTAAGAAAGAAATCACATAAAATAAATATAAGCACTAAAATTATTTAATATATTTTTAAATCAATGCTATTTAAAAAAAAAAAAAAAAACATGTAAATTTTTTAGGCAGTAAGTGCAACTTAAAAAAGTAAAACCCAAGAATACAATTTAAAAAATAAGAAAAACGCAAAACTAAAATGGAAAACAAGAAACGGGTTGAATATTTTCGAAATAGGTTATTTAAAAATTAAATTTAGCAGTTTTATGCCACATAATAAAAAAATTACATCAATAAATCAAACGCAGCTAGAACATTAATTTAAATTCAACTTTTTTTCTATTAGGATCTGCGGTTTTGTTTTTAAAAAACTTGATAAATTTGCAAAGTTTTAAAATTATAATAATACATAAAATAATTAAACTGTAAGGTATATCCGAATTTTATAACAGTTATTTTAAGTTTATGAACCTTTCCTAACTCTCCTAACTTCAGTTTACAATTTTTTACCAGAATGAGTTTTAGAGTCGCGTTAAATGCAAGTGAGAAGTAGAAAGTATTTAAGTCAAAGTTCCACTGACTCCGAGAGAGAGAAAGAGTGTGTTAGGATTCCTAAATAGTGCGCATTTGCCTTTTAGCTACGTCTCTAACTATTACTGCGCTCGGCCGTATTACGTGCCTTTTGATAGCCTCTCTGCCTAGTTTAATATTGCGGGCCAACTAGGTTAGAATTTGTGTTAGCTTCGGCGAAATCTCTTTAGTTAGTCATTAATTCTCATTTCTTACATTTTAAGTACAGCCCAAGTGGAGGGTGGAGGCTTTGCTGTACGCCCTGAGAAAGAGGTCGTCTGTACGTCTTTATTTGGAGCAAATAAAGTAGAGAATAACCCTTTTGGAGTTTACGTTTCTGTTTTTGGACTTGAGCGATTATTCGC